GGTGGACTGGAACACGGATGCACACCAAGAAGGGTGCATTCAAGAAGAGAGATTAGTTTAGTTCAGAATGAACACCACGTTGAAGCGAGATCGACTTTTAAAAATCGGTCGTAGAGCAAGCCCGATCGACTGAAAGAGAGTCGATCGAAGAGGACATGATTGTGGTAGTGCACTTACAGTCAGTACACGTAATGGAAGAAAGTTCTAGCGTCCCTGAGAGTGATAAATCCCGAAAGAGTTATGTTGAGGGTGTGGATCCTCAACCACCTGCCGATGCTCTTTCTTATAAAATCACCGAGAAAGTGAATGTCTGGGTGAATTACGGATCAAGCGTAGGCGCTTAAACACTTGATCTGGTTACACATCCGAAGTCAGCTTCGGAGGTAATATTTTTTTGCCAACGCTAAAAATCTAAAAGCTTCTTGCAAGATTTGCGTAGTGATAAGATCAAGAAGATCTGCATTCTCGTCACAGAAGAAGAGTACGATGTCGATTATCGGTCGGCACGAGTGTTTGCTAAGAACGAACGGGCTCTCAGTAACTCATCGATAGACGAGAGTGTCCTCGATAAGAAGAATCGGATTGAGCGATACACGTCTCAATCTTGGGAGTCTTTGAAGACAATCCTTTCTACAAGGTCATGATAGAATACAGGGATGTTTTCGCCGACTTCGTGTCATGCGAGTTGCCTAGAGACGCATGAAATTGACACGAAATCGAACTACAACCCGGTTCGACATACTGTGTAATGAAGCAATGGCCACTGCCTCGTGAACAAATCACAGCGATTGACAAGTTCTTTGCCGATCGCTTAGCGGCTGGTCATTTATGGTAATCAACCTCCCCACACAGCTCTCCGAACTTCTGTGGTCGAAAGGCCACGGGAGGGTGGCGGATTGTGCATACGTTTAACAAATTGAATGCTGCAACGGTACCGGCTCATACGCCGATACCGAGGAAGGACGTCATCATAGATGGCATGGCAAAAAGTACCATCTTCTCGTCCAGGATCTGATGGATGGATTCTATTAGATAGAATCCATGCGTGAACGGGACATCCCGTGCACAGCAGTGAGCACCCCCATTGGTATGCTCTGGGAGTGGCTAGTGATCTCACAGGGGGTGAATAGCGCCCTTGTATTAACAGGTGTGTTACGAATCTGTTGCGATCAGAAAGAGATTTCGCACCGAGTTCCTTCGACAATGTCTTCGTCCATAGCCGGGCTATGGTAGGAAAGACGGACGTGGAGATTTAAAGAATCCGCACCCAGAAATTTTTAACACTTGTGCGAGAGCTTAAGTTGGTCGCGAACCTCAAGAAGTGTTTATTCGCAGCGAGCGAAATACCACTTCTTGGCTGCATCGTGGGTGAAAAGGCGCACTCCCTGATCCAGAAATGATCAAGGCGATTAGTGACTGGCCCGTGCCAGTCGACATCAAGGGACTTCACAATCTTCTTGGCCTAGCGGCGTAATTGCACAATTACTCGCAAAACTATGCCGAGATGACCATACATCTCTCTCGTTTGTTAAAAAAAAACGAAAGGTGGTCCTGGACTGCTGAGTGTCAGCACTACTTTGTAGGTATCAAGAAAAGCTTGATACAGTCGCCTGTGTTGACGATTGCATACCACGACAACTCAATTCACGTGGTCTGCGACGCCAGAGATTTTGCGATCGGCTGCGCGTTGATGCAGTACGACTCAGACACGTTGAGCGCTTCGCCTGTTATCAATCGCGTCAGCTGCAAGCAACTGAGCGTAATTACCCGGTGCATGACAAGGGACTCCTTGCCATGATATTTGCACTAGCCAAGTTTAGGGTATATCTCTTAGGAGATAGGCCCTTCATCATTTATATCGACCATGCGTCGTCACTCACGGCCGTAAACAGTCCACACCTCTTGCAACGAATGGCAAGGTGGCTGTCTTTCTTCGCGGAGTACAACTTCTCCGTCGAGTATAAACCAGGACCAACTTAATGTCGTAGAGAGTGCTCTTTCGCGTCGGCCCGATTTTGAGCCGACTGCTCAGCCCCACAATAGGGGTGATACCACTATTTCAACACTATCAGTGATTGCTCCGTCGTCGAATCTACTCAACGCTGTGCGAAAAGCATACGCAGAAGATGAGTCTCTTCTCTGCGGTTGATGGATTACGCATCCAATCCGTGCAGTCAAGCTTTGAAAAGCTTGTCGTCTCAATACCGCCCCTCAACCGAACGGCATTCGGTTCGTGATGGACTTCTGTACTATACAACAGTTAACGGCGATACACCTCGTGTCGTCGTTCCCGCTTATAATGATTTGCTATTGCGCATCATGTATGAGTGTAACGATACCCCAACAAGTGGGCATCGCGGTAAGAAAATGCTTACCTCACGATAAGCCGTGACTTCTACCGGTCACGCCAGTATAAATTTGTGTGCAAAACATTCGCGCTTGTGAAGTTTGCCATCGGGTGAAGCCTAGTCCTTCATCCCGTGTACCCTTGCAGCCTCTACCAATTCCGACAGAGTGTTGGCAGTCCGTATCGATGGACTTCGTCTTCGGGTTTCTTAACGACGCTCAAAAGAATACTGGTATTCAGTGCTTGTTGATCGGTTTAGCAAGATGGTACATCTTGTTACTGTACCGGAGTCAATCGAAGCTCAGGGGTGTATTTGTGTGTATATCGATACTATCTTCCGACTTCATGGGTTACCCCGTGAACTCGTGTCTGACAGGGACCCCCGCTTCACAGCGGAGTTCTGGTAATCTGTGTTCCGTTCACATGGAACACGTTTGAATATGTCGACTTCTGACCATCCAGAAACAGATGGTCAGACGGAACGCGTCAACCGCGTCCTCGAAGAGATAATTCGAGGGTACGTCCACTCCTTTGCAAGTTGGAGCGAATTCTTGTCGATGGCGGAATTCGTCATCAACAACTCGGCGCAAGCGCCGAAGACGCATACACTGTTCTTCGTGAATGGTCTGGGCCGTATAAGCTTACCCGCCTTCTTAGAGTGTGACTCTAGTTTAAGGGGGGGATGGACTCGCTCGAGCAAAAACCGATCTGGTTCTTGCTTATCACACGTCGACAATGGTGTCAACGTGATGAATGCCGATGTCGATCATATCGACATCTATGATGATGAAGACGATGCTGGTATATTCAGCATCGCCAACGACTGCTGCAGTGGGGATGACAACGCCGTCACTGGTAAAGACAACACTCCTTCAGCAGTGTACACAAAGAGCTCTGCTGTTAACAAGGATAAATCAGCAGAGGAATTTCTGCTAACTCGCGAAGCGGTCGTCCGCTTCGTTCAAGAATCTATTGCAGATGCAATAGTCTGACAGAAAAGAAACGCAGACAAGCATGGAAGAGCAAAAAATTTCATTTGATAAAAGGAGAATTAGTTTTACTGTCAACAGTAAATTTACCAGAACGCGCAGTGACAAACGTGGGCAGCAGTAAACTACTGCCCAAGTAAATCGGTCCATTCCGAGCATTGCGCCAAATGGGCAGCGCATACACGATTGAACTGTCCCGTAAGATGCGTACGCATTTTACGTTTTACGCTGGATGTCTCCGTCCGTGCTATCAGTACGAGCCCGTTTCGAGAGGCGAAGAACACCTCCGCGGTCAAGGCCGAGACCACCTTCGAGTGGTCCCGTTTCAACGAGCCATTCTGGTCGACTAGCGAAGCGACCTGCTCACGCAGTGGAGCGATATCATGACGAGATGCAGTCAGCTTGTCACGAAGAGAACGAACCGAACGTCCGTTCTCAAGTTGCGCAAACGCAAAAGTGGCAGGATCGTTCGAACGATCGTGCGCTAAGGAATTGCAATTATCCTATACAAGATCATGGAGCTCATAACGCCGGGTCCGTTCACGGAGTAAGTTTTCGCGTAACTTTTCCTTTACACGGTTCAGCTCCGGAACATCAAGCTGATCCGACCCTCGATCTGGATCAGGTGTTACTCCCTTCGCTACATCCTGTGGTGAATTCTGGCGGTAGTCGACGCTTTCTGGTGGAGCGCATCTTGAACCACCGCGACATGAAGGGCGTCCGGACGAGTTACCTCGTCCGCTGGCGTGGCTATCCACCGGCATGGGACAGCTGGGAGCCTCGTGCCCGGCTGATTGTTGATATTCTGGGTCTCGTCGAGAATATGATGAGACCCACCCGCTGCGTTCAAAGAAGGGCTGTAGGAAAACGACCCTTCCGAGCGCAAGTACAGGAATTGCAAACTGTCAATCCATTCGGTCATCTCAGAAGAGATGCGCGCCCTCCAGTAGGAAACATTGAGGAGATAGGTCTCCTTAGGGGCACAATTAGCTTTGTCCAGGCAACCTGGACACTGGTCGCCCCACGAGAGACAGGGTAATCTTGCCTCTCTTAACAGTCGGTGCAACTTGTATCGTACAGCTGGGTTACGCTTCTAAAACCTGATGCAAGCTGCATCAAGTTTACAAAGCCAGGCCTCACGGCCAATGCACTCGATGTTATAGATGAAGGCATTCCATCATCGCACCAAGGCCTTAACGTCGCGACCGCGGTTGTCATTGTACCAACGATGTTTGAAAAACGCATCGGTGTAAAATTCTTCCTCAGCAAGAAAAGTTTCCGTTCTGAAATTCGAAGGACAGATCCTCATACAGTCGAACAACGGGATGCGATCCCGTTCAAAGATCATTCCGGCCAGCCGATATGACTCCTTGGATGATGGCATTTAAGCGGACTCCACTTGAGGAGCATGGCGCAGGACATTGCGGTCCCTGGCCTCTTGTGTGGTGTCAGCATGAGCACTGACACCAGTAGCAGCTCAATTCCTCGAGTTTCTTCTTGCGTGGTGACGTATAGGTGCGTCACACCATCAAGACGCGTCCTAGTGTCAAATGGACTTGCGTGAGACGAGGATTCGTCAGATGAATCGCTCGGTCCGAAGATCTTGGACATGATAGCGCCATGCTCCCCAGAGCTTGTCAAACTGGCTCTAACAGTAACCCGGGTCAACCGAAGGCAGGAGGCGCCTCCGTCGATTTAAATGCATCATCCGACTCGCCGGAATGAATAAGCTCTATTTCAGGATCATCCACATTGCCAGTCGTAAAACCCGCTGCAGCCGCAGCGGATGTCACTATCGCACGTGGTGACTCACCACGTGGACTAGTCGCAACAGGCACTGCCTGTTGCTCACTTGCAACAGCAGGCAAATTACCACCTGCTCCTAAGGCAAGAGAAGAACTCTCTTTGGCTGCACGCATGCGTGCGCAACCGCCTTTCTGGCTGCTTCGGCAGCGCACCACATGGACTTCGAAACCATGCTATGGAATTGGCAAATGAGTTGGTTTAACCAGCAAGAGGTCTCTTTTTTCAGTGTGATCCAATGGTGATGACCCTGCCCCCAATCAATTTTATTCAATCAAAGAGTTATTGATCGTTAGGGGGGATGTAACGGGGTAGCCTGTTGCATGATATTATGACACCGAACGGTACCAATAGGGAGATTGTCTAGCGTGACAATTCCCTATTAATATTACCGAGATAGGTAATAATGAAGGAATATTATCCCTTTTTAAGATAATAATCACGTGCTGCTCAGAGATAGGTTGATAAAAGACATATCAACCAAGATTACCACCAACCGCTGCTAGACGCGCGTAATGAGTGGTGAGCAGGTTGTCGTCATACGAAGACGTAGATTAATTTAGATAGATAAAGACTGAAGTTATATTGATAGCTTGACTATATTAAATATAGCTCTCTTTTTGCCTCTTACTCAACGTAGTTGTTGAGTATATTAGCTTCCTCTGCACGTACTTGTGTACGTGAAGTTTCGCGGCACCCCAAACAAAGAGTGCTCCCTTACAGTGAGTATATATTAGCGTTGTCGGTCTGGTCGATGCCTACTTCGTGAAGATCTTCCATGGTTTCTGAAGAGTCGTTCTTGTTTTCTGTAGGTCTGCATGTATCCCGACAATCCTTCCTGCCTGCGAAACGGTTCATTGCATGTGCCTCTTCCACTAAGATGCACCACACATCTTCAACACAGGATGTCATGTGACTTCCAACACACAGAGACCTTGCCGAGTCGGAGCTGTGGTCTGCTATGGATTGATCAATTGTATCATTTATAATTCAGAGTCTCGCTACTCCGAGGATCCGAATATAGATGCTAGTGAAACGACTACTTGATTTCGTCTGCGTTTTCTATGATACGGTGCTCCCTATGATAACTTTGCTCCCGATAACTAATTACCTCCGCTATTTTATAGAATTAGGTGTCCACCGGGGTCGCTCTGCGGTTGTTCTGTGGTTGTCAGCTTCCAACTTTCGATAAATAGCCATAAAGCGAGATATAATTGTGTATGGACGGGTAAATTTGTATGTGCTGTGCTGCAGTGGACCTATTCAAGCCAAGTATCGAAGTTGTTTTGTGTGGCGTTGGCACTGCGAATGTCATCCTGTAGGCTTCGGAGTAGCTAGCACGTACAATGGTGGGTTTCCAGGGACATATATTGCAAGGTGCAGACGAAACCTAAGATAACAATCTGCTTGCACTTGGTCAATCTGTCTGTAATTGCCCTCTCATCTGCTTCAGCTCCTTCTTTTTATTCCTTCTATCCCTACACTGCGTTCACAATCCCTTGATCGTTGAGCTCTGGCTCAGCACTCTCGTCTCCTTAATATCGCTGATAAGCCATGTACTGTATTTTCAGCCAAAAATTGCACCATTTTCCTAATGAAGAACGACAGTCCCAGCAAACGACTACGTGTATCAACATTGAGGCACAACCTCAACCCATTTTACCAACAAAGGGTGAGGATATGTGAAAGTGGTCTCCGGGGTTATCATTCTGCTAATTCTAGGTACATTTAATTTCGGGGGTGGAGGAGGAGGTTCTGAGTGAGATTTTTTTAGTCCTTCAATTATTGGCTCAACTATTGTGAATGTGGTCAATATTCCATTTCTTCAGCTTGTGTTATGATATGTCTAAAATATATGTGACTTAATCGATTAATTTTCTAATGTAAGACGCAGCCATTATCCAATAACTAATAGCCTCTGTTAACCTATAGGATATGTGTCCACTGAGACTAAAAGTTAGTAGAAGGAGACCCGTTGTTTTTTACTTACGGCGAAACTTCCCCGTAAAATAGTCTGCACTATTAAATTTCAGAGCAAATTTTAGGAATGTCCATTTGTAGCGACCTTCTAGAATAGCGTCTGGTCTGACATGACGGTCGGTAACTTGAAACCTATTCAATTAAACTGTTGTCTCTCATTTCGCCATCAAGTTATGCAGCATACGATTGTTTAGTTGCATAAGTTGTACTAACAATCTACCTCCATACGCTCGACACATATCGGCTTCGACACATCTATGACCAATGGCCAGCAGCTCTATGCAAACTGACTGCAATGGTCGGAAACAACTTGCCTATCCAATAAGCTTCGCGTTTGCCCTTATATAACTCGACCACTCCTTCTCATGCTTTCGACCTTCTATGGTGCGAGTGACGCAACACGACCACCCGTAGGTGCTTCTTCCCCAATAGGGCCATCTACATACTCCCATTGAGGTCTCAATGCCACAAATGCAATAATAGCGCAGATCGTTTCCGCACCTTACTGCGCCTTAGAAGCCTTGACGACACCAACCTGCGCTGGTCGGATAACCCGTTCGTTCAACAAGTAGCCCGGTTTCATCAGCTGTCCAATGGATCCTGCTTCCTTGGTCGCATCGTCGTACTCGAACAATGCGTCGTGCACATTGGGGTCAAACTTGTCCCCCACCGCGCCCACCTGATTGATCTTGAACTCCCGAAAGACCTTCTGCAACTGGCTCTCCGTCATCACGACCCCCTCGTGCAATACTTTGATAGCATCCAGCTGTTTCTTTGGCTCCAGTGCGTCAACGTCAATGCTCTCGTGTGCGCGCTTCAGGTTGTCCGACACGTCCAGCAGCGCTTTGGCAAACTTCGAGATGGCAAACTCACGGGCGTTGCTCACGTCGATGCGCGAGATGCGACGCACGTTCTCAGCATCTGCCAGTGCCCGCAAGAGGCGGTCGTTCATGTCTTTGTTCTTCGCCGAGAGCTCTTCAATCTCCTTCTGCAGCTTCTCCGTCTCCGACAGCTCCACAACAGGCGCCTCAGACTCGGACTCCTTCTTAGCAGCAGCTTCGTCCGCGGTATTCGCGCTCTCCTCACTAAACCGGACGGAAGTCTGGCTAACACCGCGCATCTGGGGAGACACACGGCGAAAAGCAGCGCTGGACAGGACGACGCGGCGGAGCATAGCGAGAAATGCGAGACACGGGCAGTTGAGGACTAAGGACGGGTTGAAGCGTTGGCCACCACTGACGTAGATATCGTCTTTGACAGGATTTGCAAGCTGCCGCGCCTTTTTTTTCATTCCACGAAAAATCGGTCTTTTCATCCGCTCAACTTGATAATGTCATTGTCGAATTTGTGTCGTTACTACCGCTTTGACTACCCGAGCACGACTGCTTATCACACATTCGATAAAAAAGAGGTCGTCGTCAATGGAGACAGGTGCCGATCAGCGGGCGGAGCGCATGAAGCAGCAGGCGGTCAAGCAAACTATTGAAGAGGCAGCTAATCAAAAGGTGCTGCAGCACTATGCGAAGACAGTGCACTTTAATGACGATTGGGTGTCGCTCCTGAGCAAGATGTCGGGCCTCGTGGGGCTCATGAGCTACTTGGAGGTGCAGCGCATGCGGGAGAGCTCAGGGGGTGTCACCTTCACCGCTGGTTTTGAGGTGTTGACCGTAGTTATCGGAGTCAGTACTTTGCTGTTCATCCAGCGATGGGTCCACCCGCTGCTAGCTTTCAAAGTAGCGTTTGTCTTGTCGCTACTTCAGGGCTTCTGGTTTGCCACGAGTTACTCGTCGCGGATGATGGACCTGCCGCGTCTCGCGGGCGACTTGTCGAGTGGACAGTTTCCCTTTGGTCTTATCTACTTTATCGTGTGCTGGGCCTCAGACCGCTATATGATGCGGTCTCAGGACATTGCCAAGCAGACTGCTGACGACCTTCGCGCTGTGCTCAAGAGCAAAGACGCCTAAGCAGCTTTTAGCTTCCTAATGTCGGTCGAATATCCGGAAATAAACACCGATGTACGTACGTTTCGTACGTACATGGAAGAAATCAGTTGGTTTTTTCATCGAGAGCTCGAGGATGTGCGCAGAAGGTTGCTCGATCATCTCGTCGTGCCTTTGAACCTTGTCGAAAAAGCTCTTTTGACAGCCACTTTTTAAATGAAGTACCGCGACGATCCGTTGTGGCTTGACGTGGTCAAAGTGCCGCAAGATGACGGCCCTAATCCCATCGTGAGCATCGCGTACTCGCCCGAATGTACGTACAAACGCCTCGTCTGCCTCGTCTACCTCTCTCCGTTACGTGTCTCACGCCCAACGACCTTGTTCTGCGCAGTTACGGACGTGATGGACTGTTTCCGAGGCGTGCTCCAGACGAACGAGCTCAGCGAGCGCTCTTTGGCTCTCACGCGGGACGTGATCAACGCGAATCCAGCCAATTACACGGTCTGGTACTTTCGACGGTGCGTGCTCAAGGCTCTGGGCTCGGACCTGCGTGCAGAGCTCCAGTTCACAGCCGACGTAGCTCTTGAGCATCCTAAGAATTACCAGATCTGGAACTACCGGCGCGAGATTTGTACCATACTGGACGACGGCAGTGCAGAAAAGGCACTGTGTGCCATGTCTTTTGACGTGGATGCCAAGAACTACCATGCGTGGGCGCACCGACAGTGGACGGTCCAGACCTTTTCACTCTGGGACGGAGAGCTCGAGTTTGTCGACAAGATGCTGGAGGAGGACGTGCGTAATAACTCGGCGTGGAACCATCGCTGGTTCGTGCTCAACAATACAAACGGACTTGCGAGCGACGAAGAACGACAGCGCGAAGTCGACTATACGCTGATGAAGATTGCAGTGGCTGTGCACAACGAGAGCCCGTGGAACTACCTTCGAGGTCTTGTCCGCGGCCGTGAAGCTACCTTTGCTGCACAGCTGAAGGAAAAGACGCAGGACATACTAGCAGCTGCAGGCGATTGTATCTTTGCGGCAGCGCTGCTGGTAGATCTGCTCGTGAACGAGAGCACAGCTGGGGCTCTTGAAGAAGCGAGAAAGCATCTGGAGATACTGATGAACGAGACGGACCGCATGAGGAAAGCGTACTGGCAATTCCGCCTGTCGACGCTTCAGTAGCGCCGTGCGTACTGCTTTTTACAAATATTGTGCTGCTGCAATGTGGGCGGCGAGCATGATAGCTGCTAACATGAAACGAGCATAGCTGTATTTGCTTACTCTTCGTCATCGTCGGAGCTAGACTGGACTCCAAACAGGATATCGGCTGGACATTGTTCCCATGCTGAGCGATTTTATCAACTTTGTCATACTCAAGCAGGCAGGCAACGCGCGTTCAGACTTGCCGGCCGGACTGGCTAAATGTTGGACGGGAAGTTGCTCACAGTCGCCATGTCCTCCACCTTGCTGCCATTAACGACAAACTCGAGCTTGATTCGCATCAGCAAGGGTTTCTGAACAAAGAAATATTAGCAGTCTACCCAACAAAGGAGAACAACATCAAGTGACTTACCTCTCCATGCAGCGTATTCTGGACCTTGACGACCTGAGTGACTGCGCCACTACTGTTCGGTGGCACAGCATCACCAGTAGGAGGCTCCATTTTTAGCTTGACGTACTTCGGGAACGCGGCCAAGAACATAAACTTCTCGATCGATATGGCCGTAGAGTTCCGAATAGTTGCCGTGATGTACGTCACGGAGCTATCGTCAGGGTTGGGCTTCGTGATCGTCAAGTCCACCATCAACCCATTCTTCTCATAAGCACGCACCGGCGGGATTGCTGCAGGGGGAGCCGGTGCGGGGGCGGGGGCGCCAAAGTCCATTAACCCTAGCAAATCATTCGCGCCTGCGGCCACGGCACCGCCGCGACTTGAACCAGGTGCTGGGGCGGGTGCAGCCGACCCACCAGAAAAAATGTCGGCAAGCAAGTCCACAGCAGGAGGTGCAGTCGGGGCAGTAGAAGAAGACGATAACGTCGTTTCCGCATTCGACGCTGATGCACCACCGAAAATGTCGTCCAGGTCTAGCAGACTTGAACTGGCACTGGACTGTGCAGGCTTGATCACCTTTGATCCAGCTGTGATGTTCTCGCTACTTGAACTCGTTCCTGTAAGTTCCTCACCCAGAAGATCGGTAGAAGCTACGTCCGACGACACGAGATCGTCGTTGCGGCTGCGCACCTTGGATGCGTCAATGGCGGGCATGCCAGCAAGAACATCATTGCGAATAGACGACCATTGTGGCTGACCTAGCGTTGTGTACTCCGTGGCGCGCTGCTGAAGCTCAAGCACCACAGATGTTTTGAATGAGGAAAGCATCGAGTTTAGCTTGCTGATCTCAGTCGAAGCGCTGAGTCGCGTCGTGAGTTTCACCATCGCGTTCAAAGAGTACGCACGCGTGACGTCCGTAGATCCATGGTGACGCAGAATTGTCTCAAACAGCTCCACGACACTGCTTTCGTCCACTCGGCTCTTATCGTCAAGCGTGTCTTCCGATGCAGGGGCGTCCAGCAACAGAAGTTTGCTATACTCACCAATGCACCAGATACCAACGTGCACAAGAGATAGTTGAGACACATCATCGTGAAGGGCCCAGAAGAGCTTATGAACCACATAAGTGTGCAGATCCGTGTTGCGTTGAATAAGCGTAATGAGCGAGCTGCATATCCGCTCGTCTGGCAGTGTCGAACCAGCAATCGACAGCATCGTGATCAATGTATCGATGTGCCACCGGCTCGAAGGCGCAAACCGGTCCACCGCATCTACAAGAAACATATTCCATATCATCAGCATTTGCTAAAGCAGCATATGTAGCTCGAATAACAGATCAGTCGTTCAAGTATTTACCGGCAATTCGCGAGCACAACTCAGGCTTCTCGTCGTTCGGGGCGATCACGAGGTAATTGAGCATCTCACGAGCGAGCTAAAAATCAACAAAAGCGCACGATAACAATTGACGGGGGTTCACAATTCTGCAACGGGTCATGAATGACTGCATCTACGTACCGACTGAATATTGGCGGAGTTGACGAGCGAGTAGATGAGCTCAAGTGCTCGCTGACGAATGGACGTATCCGGATCTTTAAGGCAGTCCACGATCGTGTTGGTATGACGCTGCACCGCCGTAACGTCGTCGGCGACAACTTTCGACAGCGTATTGAGTGCTACGTAGCGAATGTTGTTGTCGCGATTGAGCAGAAAACGCCCCAGAATATTGATAGCAAGCACACGGAGCCCGCTGTCGCTCTCAATAGTCATTATAGTCTGCACGCATTCGTAAAGAATCGCATTGCCAGCTGTCTTAGCCGTCTCCGTGTTCGTAGCAACTTGTGCTAGCACGTCATTCATTGCCTCGCTGGCTTCCTCGTTATTCTTCCCCAGAAGCCGCAAGAGCTTCAGGATTGCTACCTGCAGAAACGGATCAGCAATGCCGCTGACATCGTACTCGCTCGAGTACCCCATGGACAGTAAATTACGCAGCTGGCGAACGAGCTTCGGGACGAGGCTGCTGAATTTCTTCAAGTTTGCTGTGTCAAGCAATACCACTTCCGTGATAAGCTGCACGCCCGCAAGCAGCACACCATGGTGCTTGGAACGCAGCAGTCCCAATATTGATTCCGTAAAGTCCTCCACCAGATCTGGCACCTTTGTAAATACTCGAATCGCTGCCAATGCCGCTTTCTTGCGCAAATGCTCGTTGTCACTGCGCAAATGACGGTCAATGTCCATCACCAAATCACGCGCCATGTCCGCCTAGTCACGTGTCATCAACAAGACACAAAAGGAAGAACAACAAGAGCACAAGACACAATCAGCGCAAAATCCTCTCCACTCCTCTATCTTCTTGTCCTTACAGAAGCCACGTTGCCCACAGCCATGAGTGACAAGGCCACAATAAACTGGTTCTGGTTGTTCAAATCACTACAGGACCACATCAGACCACAAAAACAAAAAAGTCAAACACCACATCCCGAAATTGCTGCCGTCTCTCTCTCTTCTCTATCGCCATCCCCATCCTTATTCTTCCCTCCTCCTACAAACCACTCACTTCTTCACAGAATTCGTCACGAGCGTCAGCACATCCTCCTGATCCGTAAGCAGTAGAATCAGACCCAAGTAGCCCATGCGCTTCTCGGCAAAGTACGGACTTGCAATCAGCTTGACGCACTCCATTTGACCGAAATGGGAAGGGTACCCGAGCATGTGGATAAACAGCAGCTTGGCTACATTCCGATGACGGTACTGCTTGTCCTGGTCCTTGAACGCTGTGCGAATCAACGCGCTCTCCTTGGCAATGACCGCACGCTCCTCAGCTGCTGTCTTACTCGCACGCACGGCGCGAATCAGATCGCGCAGCTTCTGGCTCATCGTCACTCGCTGGATCTACCGCCACCGTCTGCTGTCGCCTCGGGGGTCTTCCCTCCTCTTACGTGGGCAGTTGGTAAAAGGGTGATTGATGCGACGACTGATTGGCCAATAAACGACGATAGTAGATCAAAGCACGCGATTGGCTGGAAATGATAAAACGCGATCAATGGCGAGGTTGAAGTGTATGGTGCTCTGTGTGTGTTTACTTTATCTTTTGTGCCAATCAGTAGGCGTTAGTCGCTGACCGCCTCTCTGATGGAATATGAAAGCAATACTCTGATCAGGATGTATTGCTATGCTGGAAACGCACGGCAGTGTCAAACTGCTTATCAGGTTTGTGACAGTTTAAGACTGCTAGTGTGCAGTATACTCAACATGGACCTTTCGACCAATCGCGGGTTTAGTCACCTCAAACGCTACCGCATCAACCCCAGAGCTCTATTTTTGCTGCTTTATCCCGCTTCCTCTGCAAACTGATGATCGTCGATCGCCCGTTAACACACACACGCAGTCTGCAGCACTTCGGTCGCGCTTGCATTTCCGAGTAGGTGACATGCAACTTATTTCCGCTGTTGAGCTTGTCGCCCAAGATCGATAAAAGAGCAAGCACGAGTTCCTTGGGTGAGGTTACCTCCCCCACAACATGGCACTCGTGGTTGTCTGTACATATTTTGCGACGCGGGGTCCTAACTACAACGAAGAGCGCAGAGGTAGCGCCAATCCACTTGCTCATTGCTGCCTATCGTTCCGATGCCGAGATCCAAGTTCTCCTCCTGCAAAAGAACCGACCCACTTACCAGCTCTAACGTCACAAGACACTAGTGGTAGAGACGTGCCACTTGTTCAGCCGCAGTAAAATCGTAGCCTGTCCACAAGTGTTCAGTAACTCGCAGCTACAACACCAGTAGCTTCACCACCTACTTCATCGGCAATCCCTTCTCAGTCTCTTTGTCTCTGTGCTCCATCGTCCCAGGGTTTAGCCCTAAACATCCCGATTCTAATACCATGTTGATGTGCATTGACTGTAACGTTATCGTGCATTGAGTGTAACGTTATCATGCACAGACTATAACGTTATCGTGCATGTTCTGTAACGTTATCGTGCATGCTCATCGTTGCATCGATAGACTGGTCGTCCCTGACCGCGTACAAGCTTCCAATCACGATATAGGACGAGCCAATCAGCGTCCACCCAGCAAACCATTTCGAGTCCCCATCACATCTCAATCTCCATCATCAACGCTATGCTGGCCAAGTCGCTCTCTCGGTCCGCCCCGGCTCGTCGCTCCCTTGGGTCCATCAGGTGCATGACCGAAGGTCGCAACGTCTTCAACTGGCGTGATCCATTGCTACTGCAAGACCAGCTGACGGATGAGGAGGCCATGATCCAGGTACTGTCAACTGTTCTGCAACAAGAATAGTCGAAGTGATCTGTTTGTTTGTTTGGTTAGGTTTTGTTCTCTCTGACGGGTCAACACCATGTCTTTTGCTATAGAAATCAGCCATGGACTATTGCCAAGGGAAACTGCTGCCACGGATTGTCGAGGCGAATCGGAAGGGCGAGTTTGATCGCTCGATTATGAAAGAAATGGGCGAGATGGGGTTCTTGGGGCCCACGATCCACGGATACGGCTGTGCGGGCGTTGGCTACGTTTCGTACGGCCTCATTGCCAACGCTGTGGAGCGTGTACGTAGTGGAGGAGATATGTATATAATGTGTGGTAGGGTTTGTGTGCGATTGAAGACTAATTGGTTGAGGTGATCTGGTTGGGGGACGATGGTAGGTGGACAGTGCCTATCGATCGGCTATGAGTGTACAGTCGTCTTTGGTGATGCATCCGATCAACACTTTTGGATCGGAGGAGCAGAAGGACAAGGTGGGTGGTAGTGTGGCTTTGTTTATGCATTCGTGGGTACATCTATGTTTCTTGTACACGGTGGGTGGTGCTCTTCTTGATGCTTGAGCGGTATCTCACGTGATATGCTGTGTTGCTGTGTTGTATTATTGTAGTACTTGCCACGTCTCGCCAAGGGCGAAATCATTGGCTGCTTCGGCTTGACTGAGCCAAACCACGGATCCGATCCGAGCTCGTACGTTGTAAAGCATGTTGTGGTGCAGGGTTCAGCGTACCTCATACTCTTGTGCTTGTGGTTATGTTTGTGTCTTGAAAAGGATGGAAACACGTGCCAGACTCAAGGGGGACAAATACGTGCTCAACGGCTCCAAGAACTGGATTACTAACTCTCCGATTGCCGACGTCTTCCTTGTATGGGCCAAGGACGATGAAGGTGATATTCGTGGGTTCATCCTAGAAAAGGTGCGCTGCTGGCAATATGTGTACTTGGCGTAGCAAAGGGCTGTACTGACATCTCTACATTAGGACTTCCCCGGCCTGTCGGCTCCGTACATCGAAGGCAAAGCAACGTTGATGGCATCTGCTACTGGCATGATTTTTATGGAGGATGTTGAGGTGCCCAAAGAAAACATGCTGCCGAAAGTGAAGGGCCTCAAGGTACGGAATAGTGTGGATTGTTGTTGCACGGTCGATATGTTTGCTTGACGACTGCAACAAAACATTGTAGGGTCCTTTCACCTGTCTCAACAGCGCTCGCTACGGAATCGCCTGGGGTGCGCTTGGTGCAGCATGTACGAACATTGACGAGTGATTGTGCACCACAGCTGGCCTGACTCGTTCTGTGTTACGTTTCTTGCTTCTTCGGGACAGACTCGTGCATGGACATTGCACGCCAGTACACCCTTGACCGCTCTCAGTTCGGTGCACCACTTGCTGCGTACGTCATAAACTATGCATGTGTGTTGCAAGGTGCATTGCAGTGCTAAACAATGTCTGCTTGTTCCAATTCCTCTCACAGCAACCAGCTGATCCAGAAAAAGCTGGCGGATATGAGCACGGAAATCGCGCTCGGGCTGCAAGGATGTCTGCAAGTCGGTCGTCTGCTCGACGAAGGTGATGCTCCAGTGGAATTGATCTCGATGGTCAAGCGCAACTCTTGCGGCAAGGCCCTCGAGATCGTACGCAATGCCCGAGACATGCTCGGCGGCAATGGCGTTTCGGACGAGTACCATATCATTCGCCACGTCGTGAATTTGGAGGCCGTGAACACGTACGAAGGCACGCACGACGTGCACGCTTTGATCCTCGGTCGTGCAATCACGGGTCTACCTGCTTTTGTCCCTCGCATGGCTCCATAGACGCCTAGAAGACACTAGGCGAAGTCTCCATGGTTAGTCAGTCTACTATCGCGCCAAGCGAGCCATTGATTGTTGTTAATACAATCACGATCACTTCAACATGGATATGATTGGTTTAATTCGACGCGTTTTTCGATTGGTTGAAAAAGCGTCCAACAAACCAAAACCCATCGTCTCTCCTTACCAAAGTGTACCCATGACAAGTCTCGCGGCCAAGACGCCGCGTCTAGTGGTGCCTGGACTCCAGAACCTCGGCAACACGTGCTTCTTCAATGCGATTCTACAGGCGCTCGCCTCGCTGTCTAGCGTACACGAGTACCTCGATCAGATTGAGCAGCGTGCGCGGATCACGGAGCGCACAATCACATTCACTTGTGCCTTGCGCGACTGTCTCGATGGTGCGTCTCTGGTCGACCGTTTTGATTGGCTAAAATAAAATCTGACCTTTGAAGTGCATGCTGATTGGAGCAGCGCTCACCCCTAGGGAGGAAAATGACCAATCACGTCGAGTCGTTGTCGCGCCACGGATTTTGAACGCCGAGCTGACGAGCAGATTAAGCGCTTTTCAGGGCAACAAACAGCAAGTGGGGATTGACGGGCTCGTTATTTGTTATTGTTGTTGTAGTGGTTTTGCTATTATTGTTGTTTTCGATAGTGGATTCGCAGCTCCTGATATTGACGGGTCTCATGTGCTGCTGGCAGGACTCGCAAGAGCTGCTTCAGTTTCTATTCAAGTTGGTGGGCAATGAGCAGCACCGTTGCTCGGTACAAGACCGTGGATTGGCTGACTTGGCCGTGACCAATGCAACGCGGAGCTCGATTAGCGATCTCCGTTTATTGCAAGCTGTCGATGGACGAAACTGGAACCCGTTGCAGGGCCTTCAAGTGAATTTGCTGCAGTGTGTCTGCTGCTCTCGCTTCCGGCCTCTCAAGAACCAGCCATTTATCGATGTGTCTCTGTCGCTGGTGGCCCTAGACGAACGAAAGCTCTCGCATCTCACCGATGCACTACAATTGTACACTGAACCAGAAGCTATCGATGGAGTGGAGTGTAGCTATTGCAGCGTGGTGGAACAGCTAAAAGATACAGAAGAGAAATATGCGCGGGAGGAGACGCATATGGCACTTGATCGAGAAAGTGTCAGTAACGAGTCAGAGATCGCGCAGCACGAGCGGAAAGACTGGATTTACACACTAAAGCAGCTGGCTGACTCATCATCTAGCATTGATCTAGAACAGCTTGAGCAGTTTGTTCCGCGCAAGTGTGGTGAAAGCCACAAGCGATTGCAATTCTCGCGCAGTCCGGACGTGTTCTGCTTTCATCTCAATCGAAAGGTTTACAGGAAGACTGGTGGAGCAGTTAAGCTCGAAACCTACGTGGAGTTTCCTTTGGAGCTTGACATGAGTGTCTATTGTCAGTATGAGTTGGATTGTGACGGTGGCGTTAAGCAAAAAGTGGTCAGTGGCGCCTCACGATCGACAGCTCGACGGTCTGGAGTTTCCTCGCTAACCCGTAGCGAGGCCAGTAAGCAACAACATTTGTTGTACGATTTGGCAGCGGTCATTTTACACCATGGTAATGAACGGAGCGGCCATTTCACAGCGTACCGCCGCGCCGGTCCATCGCAGTGGTTTTTTGTCTCCGATGAGACGGTACGTGAGGTTTCTGTCACCGATGTGTTAAGCAGCTGTGCGTACATGCTCTTTTACGAGCGCAAATTCCGGACCAAGAGGATAACACGCAGTTCTGAAACTGAAGAAACCACCGATGACGACGACAGTTTGCCGGATGTACCCTTCGAACCTCACCTGCTACTGTCGAATGGCCGCTATTGAGGGAAGACTACGTTTGGGCTATCAGCTCAACAAGCGATGGGCGACAAGTGTTGCACGCTCAACGGAAAGACCGTAGTCGTAAATATATTGGTTAGTGCTACTCTTGCCGTCGACGCCGGTGTATTGTCTACGAAAACGATGGCAAAATGAGCGGTGTCTACCGTTCCCGACAAATCAAGAGTGAAGACCAAACAAGATAAAGGCTGAGAGCACGCACAAGTGCGTGTTAATTTTCCGATCCTCCCTTCTCACCATTTAATTGAACCCGTACTCTTGGCGAGCCCGCTTGACGACGCCAATGAGAAATCCACTCTTGTTCCGAACGTTAGAGAGATTAGCACCTGCGAATCGGGTAAGCACTTGGTTCGCCAGCGGCTCGGAAAGCTGCCCCAGCACTTCGTAGCACTTGCCGCCAAGCTCCTCTAAAGATGCCAGCGTCTGGTCTGCAACTAATGCGTGAACATGGTTCTGCACGGATACCGGCAATACCGTGAACGAGTGCATCCCGATTGGACCGTGGCCAGTGCCGACCGAGGGCTCTCCTCGTACTGCTCCACCGTATTGAGGGGCTACGTGAGGTGCTGGCTGGCGACGCCGCGGATCCCGAGTATCTTGCGGGGCATCAAATGGATGTTCGTACAGCGAGGAAGCAGGATCGCTAGCCATGGGCGGCAGTTGGCCACGGTAGCCGTCGTAATTCATTCCATTCGTGCTGCTCAAACGCCCGCCTTGAGGAGGCCCACCAAGAACTGATACACCTTGCGCAGGTGGTCCATGATTTCGGCCACCTATGGAAACCGCTGGAGCAGACTGTCCACGAGGAGATGGCACGTGCGGCCGGTGCAGCTTTTCGGAGGCAATCGCCTTCTCGTTCACACGATTGATAATTCCTACTAGAAAACCTTGCAAGTTCGTCACCTGCGAAAGATCGACATTGCTGAAGTTCTCAACCGCTTGCAGCGCCACGCGCTCCGGCAAATGCAGCAACCGTGTGATCACGTTATCGTTGAGCGGCTCCTGTAACCTTCCTTCGCGGCGCATACTGTTTATCACAGCCTTGACAGGCACTGACAGACGTTCGTACAGATCACTCGAGCCCGCAGCATGAGACAGATTTCCACGAGGGGACATTTGTTGGCTTGACAACGAACCATGACGACGTGGATCCCGTCCAGCTCCACTGCTATTTTGATGCCGAGGCTGTTCACGGCTACGAGGGTCTTCCGCTCGTCCTCTTGTCGCTGCCGGTGGCACAGCTTGGACAGACGGGGCTTGACGGTTTGCAGAGAATGAAGAATCGACGACTGATCTCTGAGAATTAGAGTTTGTTGACGCATTAGGCTCACGTGCAAGTTCTTTGTTCAGGTGAACAGCACGCCCGAACTCGTCAACATGTTTGTGCAAGTGCTTGTCTGAATCTGATCGCGCCGCTTCATTTCTTGCCTGTCGTGGAGAATGTTTCACCGGGAGGTCTTTGGGAAGCTGGTCCCGCTGATACGGTACCCGGACAGTCGAAATGCCCTTCGCTGGTTGTGGAGGAGCATACCCGAAGCGAAATAACCCAGAGTCACTCTTGTAGTCCGAAATGAAGGCATCTACAGACTGTAGCACCGCGACTTGTGGGTTTTCCTTCTGGTATTCACGAAAAATGCGCATCAGCTGTCCATTCTTGTCACGAATGTCTCGCATGGGTGTGCGTACAAATCGAGCAATGATAGCAATCTGAGCAAACTCAGGCATAGCGCCAACAGATGCAAAAGCAGCGCGACTCACTTGGGTCACTCGGAACTCGCCACTCGTCTGGAAATCCATGAGTCGATCCCATGCCGCAGCAGAGAGTCCCTTGTGATCATCAACGCTATTTTTCTGTTTGCTGCTAGTAGACAGGGTAGAATCTCCGCTTCCGCGCCGATGATGACCTTCCTTGTGGTCGCTCTCACGGAGATTTTTGCCATCCTCATTACAGCGGAGCCGTTTATAATCTGCGCTATCTGTTTCTGGCACGTCAGAAGGCGGATTGGCCTCATCGTCAGCCTTTCTTTTTGCTGACGTCACGGGGCTTAGTTCCATCGGAACGGATTTATCAGGTGCTGACGGTGTCATGAACGGATACTCTGGGTCGTACTCCTCCTGCTCAGAAGCTGGATGATGTTCGGTAAAGCTCGTTGAAGTATTGCTTCCTACGGGTGTTCCCGCAGAAGATGGATTCGCAGGGTCATATTCATCATCTCCGTGGGGTACACAGGACGCCACCGCTGGAAGAGTCAACGGGTCGCATTCATTTCCACTAAGCTTTGGTGGAGAGCACACGCAATCGCCCTTTGTATCATCACTTAGATCATTATTGTCAGCATGCTGTTCTTCACTCGAGATGTCACTCATCTCTTTGGATGATGGCAGCGAAGGCTCGATCAGTGCAATGGTGCTCTCATTGTTAGCAGACGGACTGGCCAAACCACACGCTGGTACATCAGGCGTCGGCAAAGTCAATACGCCATCTTCTCCCGTAGTGTCCACCAAGTCGTCATGTTCTGCATGTTGCTTTTCACACACAACCAGGTTCATCTCCTTAGACGGTGACGAAGGCTTCAACGGAGTAATGGTGCTCTCATTGTTGGCAGATTGACTGGCTAAGTCACATACTGGTACATCACACATTGGCATCTTCGCTGCGCTACCTTCCAGTATAGGGTCCACCAATTCATCAATTTCGACACGTTGCTCATCACTCAAATTATTGCCCATCGTCTTTGATGGTAGCGTCGATGCTTCGACCGGCAAAACAGTATCAACAGTGGTAGAAGAAGCCACCGATGCACACACTGGCTCACTTCCCACTGACTCGATGTGTTGCGCCCCTACTTCCACGTCATCGATCGTTCCAGACGATACCTCCGTATCTGCTACCAAAGGTAACTGCATCCCAGCACCGTTTTCATGGCCAATTCCACCACCAATGTTTTCCACATCTTCCTCACTCTTCTTTGCAACTCCATCCACTAGCCCCTCTCTGCTCCGACTAATCCCTTCCATCGACACTGCATCCTCATTGCACTCAAGAGCGACCGCATCTGAAGCCATCAACGCCGCCGCCACACCAAGCGTCGACTCCACCACATTCCCCATATCTTCTTCGTCACCACCAGTCACTTCTTCCCTTGACTCTGCATCGTCCGCCTTCACCAACAGCTCCACCGCGTCACTCTCCGTCCCATCTCGTGTCGTCTCTTTCGTCTCCTCCTCGTCGCTCACCTCTCGGTCAGAAGAGACACAACTACCGGCTTGTACACCAGCTACCGGATCTTCGGATTCGTGCATTCCTTCGTTCGTGTCGGTGGCAGCTGCGCCGTCGCCGTCGCTCGCGCGTAGTGCGTCCAGCGCCATGCTGCGGTCTCCACGAAACTAAATGTGCGGAAGTGTGTGTGCCACACACATTACACGACGTGGATCAGAATGTAGCCATTCTGTCAACAGCGAAGTACCAGCAACACACAACGTTCGGTATTTCTCGTGTGTAAACCGTTTTTCCACTGACTGTGTAGCTATACTGTGTGTACGAATTGTGAGGTTAATGTTTCACGAAGAACGTATAGAGATGATGATAGCATTCTTCTACCAAACACATGAGGACGGTAACGTCGACTATGTACTTCGGCATACCGTAAACTTCACCTGATGGAATGGGTGAAGTACAACCCAGACGACCCATCTATATAGCATCACTGGACAGGTCAGGCCCGCGCTTCTCCATTGCTTAGCATCCGTGTCGTGTCGTGTACATTGCCAGTAGAACGCTACAGCCAACACCGAATTCCAAAGATTAAGGGGGTGCATGGAGCGATGAAAAGCAGCTGCACGCACACGATTTAAGCGAGCAGATTCTCTCCGTTGTAGTGGAAGAGACACACGCTGCCGGCAAACATGGCAACGCTGACAAGGAGCTGCTCGTGCTTCGTGATAAACGTGGTGGCACGTTCGCGGGAGCTCTGGTACCATGACTTGCGCTGCACAGGCACACTGCCTGTACCAAAGCGGCTGCCGAGGAGGTTTGACTTGGGCTTGGAGATGCTAGATGCGCTCAACTGACGCTGGCTCGCGTTCAGCCGGTCATACTTGATGCGGAGATTAGCAGCCTCACGCTCCAGCACACGTAGCTCGGCTTCGGCTTCCTGCTTCTTTTTAGACAACGCGACCACAGAAATGCTCAACTTCTCAGCCTCTGACAGCTCAAACTTCGCCAGGACATGAAAACGGCTGCGCAGCAGCGTAGGCGCTTCAGCAGTGACAGCCCCTTCAACATTCTCCTCCACTTCAGCATTCTCCGTCTCCCCGACTTCCTCACGCTCCGCAGCTTCAGTCTGCTCAGCCTTGTCGGCATCATCGGCCTTTTCGGCTGATGCATCGTCATCAGCAGTAACATCCACTCCGTCAGCTTGCTCATCCACTTCAGCCGTCTCAGACGTTTCAGCTGTATCCGTGGCCATACTTTCCGCCTCCAAAACTTCAGTCTCCTTACCCTCAGCCCCACCAATCGGTTCCTCAGCCACTTCCTTGGACACAACTTCATCAATCGCTTCCTTTATCGTCTCTTCTACCAGTTCCGTAATCGTCGTGAGCTCCTCTTCTTCTTGCTCGTCCTCAATGGCGTACCACTTGTCCAGCACATTCTCGTGAAAGAGCGATGAAACAGGCACTTCAATCTCCTTCACTGGCTCCGTCTCCCCTTCATCTTCCTCAGCCGCAGCGACTGTAATGATCACGACAGCCTCACGCGACTGCACGGGGTCAAACGCAAACGTTACAGGGAACGTTCGCGCCATCGTCACGTCCTCTTCTTCTCCATTCTCGCTCTTCAAACCCGTCGTCCACGCGACTGTACGCACTTCAGGTGCCTTCTCCTTCTTGACACGCTTCTTAATGATCGTACGTGTAATCTTCGTCGTAGTTTTCAGCTTGCGAGGAGTATGCTCGCTCTCCATCTCAGCCACCTGCTCCTCCTCAAGCACGTTGCCCTCCTCGTCGGTCACCACGACGTCCTTCTTCTCCACGACCTCCTCCACAGTCTCGTACTCGTCAGCAGCGTACTCCGGGTCCATCGACACCGTGATCATGGCGTTGGGTACGGGCTCTTCTCCCTCGACACCAGCCAGCGTAACCTCCAGACGACCCACACTCTTCACTGCAGCCCTAGCCTCGTCCGAGAGCTCTTCTTCGCCTTCAGGAGCTTCAGCCAGCGCCGTGATCTGCTGGAACACACTCGCGATCTGCTCGTCCAGGAGCTTCACTTCGTCCACTTTGGCTGTGACGTTCCGACGGCATTCGAGGTATTGCACGGACGCGCGCTGTGCCATAGCGACCACAGCGGCCGAGGAGGAGGTGGAAGCCATTGCGATGAAGTGGCGGGAGCTACGAGATGATCGAAATGCGTGGCGTGGGGGGCGTGCTCGAATGGTGTGTGCCACATGAATTTGGAACCATGCAGTACGGGAGGTTGGTGTACACAAACATACGGATCCGAGTAACCAGGCGTTCTCAGACTTGACCATGTATTGCTTGTCAAGAGGTGGATAGCACATTTCGTGGTTACGGTGTACCCATTGTCGAAAGGGTTCTAAATGTCGTTAGCACTCGTGTTTGTCGACTACACCTGGTAACCTTCGCATAAATGGCGATGGCCGACAGTAATCGATAGCATAACATGTGCATTTTGACGCAAAGATGGCAGTCAAACTGTAAACGCCAGCAAGTCTCGCGTAAACTTCATGTCACGCACTATACTTTAAATTAATCGAGGGCGACTTCCTCCGCAGACTAGTCGTCTCGCTCCTCCTGTTCTACCACATCAAAACAAGGCAACTGCTACCGTCCTTCCTTCCTCCTTCCTTCCAACAACGACAAACACATCACACACAATTACCCCGTCATCGTAAATGACGACTCCTGCGTCGGAATCGAAGAAGCGAGGAACCAGCCAGTGAGCTGCTGCAAGGCCTGTGCCTCGCCGTTTTCCTGAATACTTGGAGCATAGCCGCCATCAATAAAGCGGCTCTTGTTATTCAAGAGCGACTGCTTCTGGTTTAACGAGCCATAATTGGTCTCGAGACTCACGCGGCTCGAACACTGAGACGCCCGCACGGACGAAATCGAGCTCGGACCGATACAGAACGAGTCAGTCGTGCTGGTGCTGCTCATGCTCCTATTTGACCCCATGAGTGTAGAGGACACCGAGACAGCAGGGGCGACGGTGCCACCGCGTCCGTAGAACTGAAAAGAGACCCCTGGCTCTTCTTTGTATTGCGGCCGCGTGCTGTTCATTGTCGCGCTCTTGCTCTGAGCCCTTCGATTGCGGTGAGGCACAAACTGCTGTCGACGGTGTGGTAGCGAAACCAATACGTTCTCCTCAGTGCAATGGACAAACTCCCCCATCACAATCTCCTTGATCGGCGGCTGCGTAGTCGCGTCATTATGGTGTCGTCGATTTGGCTTGGAGACCATCCGTCCCGACTGTTTGCGGACTAATGTCGTCGTCGTTGTTGTTGTTGTTGTATAGACGTCAGAGGTGGCGATGCTGCGCTGCATCTGATGGCGGTGAGCGTTCATGCAATTGTGCGCATTCTCTCTTACCGGGTGCACACGAGAAGTCACGCTATCATGACTGCAAGCAGAGGCACTGAAAGCTGAAGGAGCCGCGTCGTAGACATAGTCCGTGGGGTTCACCTCACTGTCCATGAACGACGTCGAGCCCCACATGACGACCGTTGAGCCACTGACGTTGCTCGACGACGCGCCCATGCTGCTCGTACTATTGGCAAGCATGGTGGTGCTATTCGTGGTCATGAGCGTGTCGCTCACGTGGCTGAAGTTGCGAGCCCCGAACTTGTTCTTGCGCTCCTCGAGGAAGAAAATGTGCTCGAGAGCGAGGGACGGGCGATGGCATAAACACTTGGAGCCTCGGACTCCACACGAGCGACATCTGCGGAACCAGTTGAACTTGAAGAGGTCAAACCAGGCGCTGATCCTCATGGACCACGATGAACAGGCGACACGAACGGGCGTCGAGTCTACTTGGCGTCAAAAGTATTAATGGTGGCACCTCTTTGTCGTGGACTGAGTCGGGAGCCAGTGACTGACTGACTAATAGACTGATACCTGCCTGCCTGTCGATCGACGAAACCCGCTCATTGTTCGGGGTAGAGCCGAGACCGGCTCTTAGGGGTGTGTGTGTGAATGAATGAGTAAGTGAGTGACTCACTCACTGACTGACTGACTGGGTGAGTAGTAAGTGAGAGAGGGACGACCTATTTGCAGGTATGTGTTCACACTTATTTATAGCTGGACTCAAGGGGCGGAATCCCCGCCTTGTCCTGCGTTCGCTTGCCACTAAGTAAGGCAATGAATAGTGCTTTGGTCGTTGCAGCTCAAAGCTTTCGATGGTCAGGAGTAGATGTTATGGAGCTTCGACGCTGAGTTCGGTAGCTACAGCACGTGCTTCTTACGTGCGAGATCGGGAGACGAGTTGAAGAGAAAAAGGCGCGTCTTGTGACACTCAAGTGTCGAGCTGCGCTTGAAGCTGCTGTGCGCCTTGCAGCTGTTGCGATCCCAGCAGGCGGAACAGCAGCGCCTTCGCAATCGTCGGACAACAGCGACCGACCTTTCTGTCCAAAGTCGTAGCACTTGTGCCGGGAAGGATTAGCACGGTGGACGAAATGAAGAGGAGAACGTGCGTGCGTCCGGATGAGGATTCCACTGCTTTTAAGTAGGAGAAAGAGGAACAGAAGCGAGAGTGAGTCTGCGGCTTGGCTTCACACAGTATCATGATGATCGTATAGAGGGCCCTGGTCGACTGGAAGGTCACTGCAAAACCAAAAGAATCTCAATGTAACAGCAGTCGACGACGTTGAGGCTGTGGGGCAGGATAGGCCAATTTGTCCGTACTTTCGAGAGGGACTCGCTCGACATCCTCGGCCTTTTTCTATCGACCTGTCACCCGCCCACTCGCTGAAGCAATGCCCTTGATCCACGTGCTGGATACGCCCATCCAAGCCCATGCAACAAGGGTTACGTCCGTGTCAGAAGGAAGTATCGCGGCAGTTTTCTTTGCGGTCACTTGCAGTGCAGCTCGAACATATTCCGTAGTAAAAATCACACTCTCTCTACATGGTTGCTAAGCGCAGAAGCGAGTGCGCAGCTGCACGGATCCGATGCAAAGAAACTGCGCTGGAACGGGAGAGAAGACGACTGTTGATCGAAGAGAGTACACTGCACAAGATATTCTGGCTTTTCCCGTACGAGATTGGAGCCGCTGGGGGGGACCATGGGACACTGCGTACTCGAGTTCAAGGAGCATGATCTGACATTCGCTTACGCCTTTTCGGTCGGCCACACTGGCGAAAAGTCACTTCAATCTTATTCCCATCGTTTGTGTCGACTGCCACTGTCAGTATGATCTAGAGGCTAACTAGCTAACGGACGGTCTGGTTTGTGTCTCGGTCTTTACCAAAGAGTGGATCTCCAGTGTTCTATAGCGAACGTCGAGCTTCCACGTCCACGAAAAGAAGCGACAATAGAGTTCCCACATTGGAGAAAAAAGGGACGACAGGAGCATGCGCGTCGTTACCATCAAGACGACAACCACACAACAGCTGTCACCTTCTGGAAGATCATCTGTAAAGATGCGACCAGACGCCCGTCTCGTCTGCTCTTGCACCGAGGGAACGCACGGTATCCGAAGGAGTGTACAGGTCGCCATCAACGCTCTCCATTAGTACTCCCGTCTATCCCAAAAACAGGAACACTGGGACCTTTTCCCTGCTTTTACGACGACAACAGAGTCCAGGGACCTGCAACTGACGAGCTGCGGCCTCTGCGCAACATGTGCGTTGGCCACACCTCCTCTGCTCGCTTTTCATGCTTTTGAACGAGCTCTGGACAACGAAACGGCGGCACATAACGTCCGATCGTTCCGCTCAGGTCACAACACTCCCGTCCAGTTTCATTCGCCGGGTCGCTGCTGGGAAACTCGTCGAGCTGTCAGGTCCTCTGCTAGAAGTTGAACGGCCTTTCTCCGCCGCAGCTGGCGTGTGACACAGACAGACAGTCAGTCTCGATTGACCATCAAGAGCTTGGTTCAAACCGCACGAGTCAGAGCCTCAATGCCTCGCAACGATCGAGCGAGCGGTCGTCTCTACGTCGTAGCGACTTTCCGTCGTCGCCAAGATTACGGCCTCGAGCCGCCGCTTGGCAAACTCGAGCTCTTGCTGGCGCTTTTCACGCCTCTGTTGGTCATTCGTTGTTGCCACGTGCTTCGTCAGATTGACGGCGTTCAGTCGCCCAGCACCTGCCACTGCTTCCATGTACGTGCGCAGCGCAATTTGACGGGCTGGCCTTCGGCTTTCAGGCTCTGCATTCGAGCACGAAGCCACTGGATCCTGAAGTGGCTGCGTTGCTTCCCATTCATCTTTGAGCACCGTAAGGAGTCTTGCAATGCTCGATGGGAAACAGAACCCGGAAATCTCGGTCCGAAAAAGCGTCGAGGATTTCGATAACTGAGCTTCTAAAGATGAGCCATTTGGGATGCCATCAACTGGTCCAAAGGGTGTCACTTGCAAACTCTGGATGGAAGCGCGTACAAACGGGTGCAACGCATACAGCTCCGGTACGTCTTGGTTGGACATGGCTACAATAGTAGGGTCACGAAACATCAGATACACAAGACACTTGACAAATGTGCACGACTAAGGGCCAGAAATTGTACGTACGCGCTTGGTTGATGAGGAACTCGTAGAGTCCGTGCACTGCATCGTGTCCGTGAAAGAGGAGCAGCGAGTCGGCGCCATGCATATTCTCTACCGAGGCGGTAGTGCGAGCTATAGGTGCAGCAGTCGTGTCTTCACCGCCATGTGTGGTTCTGGAGCGGGTGGCTGCACGCTCTTCGGCAAGCATGTAAAACTCGCCGGCTTCGCGCTGCGTCTCGGTTGCATTGACGTATGGCATGGTATACGCAACGTTGAGATGGTGCAATACCTTGCGAACTCGACCGCTTGACCGAGACATGACCGCACAAAGGCTTTTCTTGGCACGCTTGATCCTCGCCTCTCTTCTGATGGACATTTCTTCCGTGTCATGCTGCTGGCACAAGTTTATAATTGATGGTATGCTCTCACCACCGCATGTTGCTTCCGTCCTACCAGTTTCATACTGGAAGTAAACCACAAAGTCGCTGGAGCGAAGATAGAAAGAACAGTCGCGAAACGCACCATCCTCTTGCCGCCGAAAGCTCATGTACACATCACGAAATGCTTCCTGCCACGCATTCCAACGTGCTGCAAAAAACGCCGTCTCCTCTCGTTGGCGCTCGCCTTTCAGCCCTCCGGACAGCAGATCACTAGAACTGACACCACCGGCACGGCGAAGGAGCATGGATGTTGGCACTGAATCTGCAGGGTGCGAGAAATAGTACAATGATTGCTGCCATCGCATGGCATTACTGACTGGAGAAGCAGATTGAGCGGCATCGTTCCCACTGCCGGTAACAAACCTCTCCAGTGCTCGTTTCTTGAGCCGCGAACTACACACAACACGTACGTTTGTCGATGCCAACAAGCTCAAACTATTGAAGGCATTTACAAACACGTACTTGGCGCGTGTAAAGGGGTAAGGAAACGCGGTGAGAATGGATAATTTCGTCTTCGGCACGACATCCAGCGGTAAACTGGCAACCTGCTACTCGCAACGAAAAATGAGCACCACATTCACTTTGGCACGTTACGATCTCAACTTACTTGAAAAATGTACGGGACGCTAGCACCTGGACGACTCTGTCGCCTCTTTTGCCCCGAGAGTGACGATGTGTACAGCGAATCCAAACGCGTTGCCGTCTTCTCCGCACGAGTCAACAACTGCGCAGACGTTTCTGCTTCCACCGTTTTTGACCCAGCAACACCTACCGCTTTTTCATCTTCAATATCTACCTGCAAGTCCGAGCCACTTCCTGCTTCCGCTGGTGCCAATCTGTCAACGTAAGTAGAAGATCACCTTAGCTACATGCCATCAATTGACGTATCGACTCGGCACTGATGCACTGGTCTACCTGGCAGATGCCGTTGCAGTAGGAAGCGGTTCCAAAGGCACTCGAGCCTTGTGCTCAGCGAATCCTTGGAGCTTTGCTACCCGACGTTGTTTCTATAAGCACGTGTAGGTTGTCAATCTTGGTGATCTGCTAGCAGTCAAATCGTTTTTCTCCTGTCGCACCCGCAACTCCATTGGCAAAAGCCTCTTCTTCTTCTTCTTGTCTGCATTGTTCCCGCCCAAAGTCGGCGTCCCCTTGGTCGTCAGTGGCTCCTCATGAGGCTCCAACAGCGCAGCTTCATCTTCCGTCGCCATTTGTCAAAGAGCTCTTCGCGTCTTCGAAGCATCTCATTGGCCAGAATAATGATCTGGAATTCCGTATCCGTTTTCACAGGTCGCGTGCCCTTCCACGTCGACTACGTATCCCTGGTCACAACTGTGACACTACACGTCTATATCGATTTTCACAGGCACAAAGTAGCTGTTCAACACTGCAACGTCCGACTTGTGTCAACCATCCACATCGCTACTTCCGTCCAATGACGACAGCTGCCTCAACCTCAGAATTTGCAAGTCATGCCGTGATCCTCTTCTACAAGTACGTCGAAGTGGCGTCTCCACTGGAACTCAAGCAGGAGCAAGAGCAGCTGTGCAAGCGTCTGGGACTCGTCGGTCGAATTCTGATCAGTGTAGAAGGGATTAACGCCACGCTCTCGAGTCCGACTCGCACAACGATCGACGAGTACATCGCCTGCTTGTGCACGCACGAGACTCTTTGTATGCGCCGTGAGGACTTCAAGCACAGTGTCTATCTAAACGAGCAGCCACCGTTTGTGGGGCTCATCGTCAAGCACGTCAAGGAGATCGTGTCGACTGGCGGCATCGTCGCTCGGCCCGATATGTCGGTATCCGACGAAGACCGAGGGTACTTGACACCGGAGCAATTCCATAGTGCACTACAAGAGGCAGAGAAGGAGACAGTGGTGCTGGACGTTCGGGCACACAAGGAGTTTCTCGTAGGCCACTTTGAAAACGCGGTGGACCCCAAGGTGAAGAACTTTTCCGAGTATTACGCGTTTTTGCAGCACCGAGTGGACGAGATGAAGGACAAGAAAGTGCTCATGTACTGCACGGGTGGCATTCGGTGTGAGAAGGCGTCCAACTTTTTGCGCAGTCGAGGCGTAGCCGACGTGCACCACCTGAAAGGGGGTATCCACAAGTATCTCGAGACGTATCAAGACGGAGGTTTTTTTCGAGGCAAAAACTTTGTGTTTGATAAGCGGTGCGTCCTTTGATGATTGCAGTCACGTCACATAATGAGTGTGAATGAACTGAACACGCTGTGGTACTACGAAACAGGGTTCTCATGACAGCACACAAGCGCAATGAGATTGTCGGGAAATGCATTGAGTGCCAGGCACCCTACGATGAATTCAGCGGACGAAAGGTGTGCACTGTATGCCGTGACCTTGTGCTAGTGTGCGACAGCTGCTACTACACTCGTTATGGTGAGGTGCACTGCACGGATCACCAGTATCTCAAACACTGCTACGTCACGTTTCTTCAGTACGTGCCGCGCTCGGAGCTGCTGGAACAGCAGAAGGCCCTTGATACGATTCTTGCAGGGCTCCTGGCAGACAAGACCAGTAGTAAGAACAAACGCCGCTCTATCCGCAATCAGCTGAACAAAATCAAGGCTCGAGTGGAGGCGATTGATGCCGACCCGGAAGCTGCAGCTGCGATATTGGCACTAGATCCGCGCCCCATCCACTGCCGAACCTGTGGTCTAGCCACCTGTTTAGGTAACTGCTGGGGCTTTTGGAGCGACGAATTGCTGCCTGAGCCTGAAAAAAATAAAGTACCCACCTAGCGTCGCTGTTTCAAATGTAGCCATCTCGATGCGCTTCACCGCGTGACTACAAAGGTCTCTTCAACTTGATCACTGTGTAGCCATCATCATCACCTCGACGAACTTCAACTTGCAACAAAAAAAGGACACTTCAACCTGACGAGTCTCAGTGCGGAATCGACCATGGCCGCGAACAAGGGCGCGCCACGACGGAAACGTGCTGCTCCCGAGTCTGGAGGAGCGAAGAAGAAGCCGACGGAAGCAGCCAAGAAGAGACAGGCGGTCGCAGCGAAGAGGAAGCACGTGCGGGAGCTTGCAAAGGCGGGACGGTGGAACGAGGTAAACAAACGAACGAACGAGACAATGGCAGCGTGATCCCTGTTAGTGATGAAGACTAGACACATTGATGCCCCCTCTCTGCTTGGTGCTGTAGATTGAGCGACTGTACGGCAAGAAGATCGTGATCAAGGCCAAGACCTGTCCGTTTGTGTCTCAGCTGGGTCCATTGTGCAATATACATACGTCCGTCTACTCATGGTAGTACCATTTGTTTTGAACGTGTTGTAGACGTGGAGACTCAAGGCGCGAAGAAGAAGACGCCACTGGAAATCGCAAACGAGATCTTGATCAAGAACGGGTACTTGCCCTGTGTCCCCGACACGGCTGCAAGTCGGACCCCACCGGCTCTAATAGTGCATCAAACGGCAGGGTCCGGTACTCGGGAATGCAGACCAGAAAGGATCATTGCTGCAGCAGCTCCTGACTCACCGGTGAAGCTGACAAAGGAACAGCAGAAACGGATCGAGACGAGAAGACAAGAAGCGCTTGAAAGACGTCGACGAGTCCAGCAAGTCGCTCGGACATCTGTCCATCCGCCTCCGGCTGTGATCCAGCCATCACGTCCTCCTCCTGACGAGGCGCATCGTAGATCACGTCAAGCTGTTGTCCCGGTGCAAGAGCAGCATCTTTTATCATCACAAATCTCAAGAAGGGAGTCAAGTTCATCTGATGGGCAACAGGAGACTGACACGCATCGCGTTGTCACCGTCGGGAGCAGGCCTCGGACAAATGTAGTGGCAGAAATCAAACACGCTCGACCTGAGTGTTTCTGGGACGACCTCGAGGCGGCTGCCGAGATTGTCCAGTGGGAAAACGAGCACATGGCGGAAGCGGCCCTTGAGCCTCAAGCACCTGCAGCGAAAATAGCTCCTGACGAAGAGTGTGGCGGCAGTCAGCAGAGCTCCCACTATCGACGAGAGTTACCGACAGCTATCCCCAATCAGCCACCTGCAGTCATATCGTTTTCTCAAGAGCTGCTCGCCGCTGCAGACATCATTCAATGGGAGAAAGAGCATGAAAGTCTACCGGAAGTACCAGGTAAGCAGTTTGGCAAGCTGCTCGGATTGCCAAGGTAGACAAGTTGACGTTTGAGACCGTTTCTGGAGTGTAGCAGCTTTGGGCAGTCCTGGTGGTGATAGCTCTGACGGTGATCGGGAGCTCGACGCACCACAGTTTCAGCTGTTGCCTGTGCACGTCACCGACGATTTGGAGCAGCCCAGCAGCGATCCCCGTGGTTCTGTGCATGATTATCAGGTCGACAACAACAGCTTCGACCGACCAATTAGCAATGGCCAGCAACATCCAAGTCGTCAACCCCATCATCGCTCTTGGGTTGCTGCACCACAGCCAGGTCTTGTATTCATTCCTATGTTCAGTACACTAACAGCTTCTGCTATCTTACCTACGTTGCTAAATCTACTGTTGACCTACCTCTACCTATTTATATTTGCCAGCCCTGCCACACACCAACGCCGTCCCTGCCAGAGTGACGGAAACCAGTGGGGTCCAGCAGCTCCACCAGACTGCATCGCATCCACCTCAAAGCCACCACAGCCCTACTACGACAGAGTTCATGTACGTCACGTGCACCAGCTTTCGAGTAAAACTAGACCGTAACCAGTCCATAACTGATCTTCTGCAGCGACAAGCACCTCTTGGAAGACAAGCTCGAGTTTCCGGTTCTCGAATTTCTTGACATGATGCTTGCTTGAAAACACCCACACAATCCAACAGCCAGGACAGCTGCAGTCCATACTTGTACGCAAAAAAGACTCGACCTCTCGTGTAGGCGCAAATGCTTGTTTAACATGGAACCGCGTGTGCTGATAATGCCTCCTCACTCGTACTTTCGACACACAGGATCAGCATAGACGAAGTGGTTTTCCCACATCACCAAATCATTCTCGTCTGATGAAAATGGGAGCATCAATCCGATGCTGTTAAAGTTCTTTGCGCTGTCGTATTCTGCATTCACGTACTTGTCCATTTGCTCCAGCAAAACGCACCACAGTGATCGCGTCGGTGCAATCGCTTCTTCTTGCTTCCGTTGGCGCTGATTGTTGTAGAAGAAGTTACCATACAGACCGGAGAACACGTGTTCGTAAAGTGCCGCGAGAAGGGACTCGCTAAACTCAAAAGCCCACGGCTGTTGACGCCAAATCTGCCACAATGCATCCAGCCACTGGATGAATACAGGGGACTGTTCCTCAAGCTCCTGATGACCGGGTCCTTCGCCCTGAGAGTACCTAAACCGAAAAAGATGCCCAAAAGAGCACCACTCCTTCTCAATGAGCTGTACCAACCCGGCAACCGTCCGGTAGTACGGGTCCAACAGCAGCTGCACCATGGCTGTTAGCTGTGGAGTACGGTCCCATCCATCACTGCAATGGACCATCACCGACTCGCTCTGGCAAAGGCACCGGCAGATTTTCTGCGAAGTGGAGAGGATGCTAGACAAGTGCAGAAACCAAAACGTATTTCGCAGCTGAAACATCCAGCCACTGCTGTCGCGCTCCTGACCAGGCTGGCATACCGATGCTAGCGATGCATACGATGAGCGCACAGCATGAATGTTCGCAATGTCACAAAAATGGAGCTCTGTGTTGGAATAATTTCGTGGATCTTCTGTGCCTTTGCCTTGCGCTGAATTGGCTGCTGCCGCCATTTGGCTTCGTGCGTCGAAGAAATGAAATGTTGCATCACCGTGCACACTCGTTGCGCGCTGCAGCGCTTGAACTAACTTTCGGTCGGCCTCCACGATATATCCACTTAACCCTGTACAAGGCTGGGCGCAACGACACACGAGCGCTCCCGTGTGCGGATGACGCCATACTACCGCAGGAATGCGACTAGCGCTGCGGTACGCGCTCAACTCACGCAGGTCGTCATCATCCAACACCGACGGAACTACAAACGCGTCTGGGTATGACGGAAACATGGTGTAATCCGAGTTGTCATATAACCGCATCCAGCTGTCTTCGTCCAGTAGCTTAAGCCGCCGATAGTCTCTCTCTGCATCGTAGGGCAAGTGATTTAGCGTCGCGATTCCGGTTCCGTTTGGCGTCTGCGTCTGTTCCTTATGTCGCAGTGCCTGGTAGTGCAAGTGTGCAAACGTATAATGGGGTGGTGACACACCCATCGAGTAGAGTTCCCAAATACAGCTCAAGAAATCGGAGCACGTAGTCTCGTCCTGAAACGCCAAAGAGGCGCGGAGGAGGTGTTTGCCTTCGATATTGGCGACATGGGGCGCTGTCGTCGAGCTTTCAGCAGATAGAATGGATGCCAAACGGATTTCCATCGCATCTTTCGTACTAAGTGCTTGCCAAATGATACGATAGTTCGTAAGCACCAGCGTACCATCAATACTAAAATGCGGCGCTGTCCCCAACACCATTTCTCCAACCAAATGCGTCACTTGCCCCACTCCTCGAAATGCGCCTTTTACCGTATGCGTGCCGAGGCCCAACATGCCCATGCCCAGTCCTTTGGCGAAACCGAACACGCCACCATTTGCTCCACCTTGATAAGTCTTATTAACTAGACCAGCTGCACCCTTTAGAAAAGCATTGCCAACACTCGTAGAAGCACGAAAGAGGCCCCTACCCAAAGACCGAGTCGGGTGATTATAGTCCCGCGTAAAGCAGTTGTCCGTTTGCACCTTGTGACCCGCAGCACCTAGTGATGCGTACGAACGAGGCGGGGCTACTCGTCCAGATGTATCCTCACCCCACTCAGTCACATCGCCGTCATCATCGGACGAGGACGACATAGCAAGTATCTCATGTTTCAAGCTCTGTTCTTCGCCGCTATCTTCGCTCTTGTAAAAGATAATGTATGCCGCATTGTCCACTTGCAGACGCACGATCTCTCCAGCGACCGGGTAGATATCGCCAATTAGCGGATGCGACTCATCAGCTGGTTGTGTAAGCTGGAAGGTCGGAGTGATTCTACCTCCACTATGCCCGCAATTCTCAAGACGCAGCATCGATGGTGAACTCACACTTCGTACACTCCTCACTGGACTATTCGTGTACGAGCTAGGAATCTTACTGATCGCGTCATAGCTACCATAGCCGCAATGACTCACACTTGCATGTGTGAACCGAAACGATTCGTTGTCATAAATCGAGTAAAACGTATTAGGTGTGCCAGCATTGCTGCCACTCTCCACGCTGCCTGCACCTCCATTGCTTGGTATTGTAATCGCGTCAGTGAACGGATAATCATCAAAATCGCCCAGATCTGAAAAGCTACTAGATGTCTGCCGAGCGACACTCGGCGGACTAATGCTGATCGCTCCATTCGTCTCCATGTCAGAGTTCACTGCAGTCGTCAACTCACTCCGTTCCGGATCCTGCTTCCTCCCCAAACGATCCCCTTGCAGGTCATTACCCGCTTCCTCCTCATCCACTTTCACATTGTCGTCATCGACACCTTGTTCATCCTTCACATCAATCAACTGGCCAAGCCCAAGCCCGCGCTCTTCCTTCTCTAGATCACCGCGACCTTCTTCTACGTCCGAGTCCGTCTCAGTAGCTGTAGCTGACGTTGGCAAAATAGCAGCAGCCACCGCTGACCTCTTGACTCCTGCTCCTTGCCTCGATCCACACTCTGCTCCTGTACAAAGCTCGGCGTTCGAGCCGTTACTACTGGACGACGTAGGCGACGTGACCTCCTTGTTGGGGTTCGAACACAGCCCCTTCGTGTACCCACTTCCATCCGGATGACGCTCCTCTTGCGCGTGCTCTGTACACGACTTGCTGACCCTTTTCCTCTCCATTTCATCATCGCCGTTCTCGCATCCTTCTTTCGTCACGGTCACGTAAAACTCGCTGTCTCTCCCGCTGGCCATGGCGATCAGTGGACTGACGTTTGTTCAGACTCTCAAAATTAATATCAGGAAAAACCTTGGTTGCCCGATGATACTAACGATAGCCAATGAACACGTTCGAACTCTTTAATCTGATACTTGAGATAAAAACCCCTCGACGATGGATGGCTCGGCGTACGATCCACTAGCTCGACAGCGGTCGTGGTAACGTATCAACTCTCTCTCAGGACTGCGTAGTAGCCGACGCGGTGGCCAGGAGTGCTTGCTCTTCTGTGGTGCTTGCCGTGACTTAACCCTAGCGGCGCTTCTTCTTCTTCTTCTTCTTCTTTTTTGTATGTAAATAATGATCGGGTAGAAAAATGAGGCGAGCACTCCTAACCCTATCTCTATTTTGAAAACTGAGGGCGACGTTGCACGGTTGGAACAATCAGATTTGAGCGAGGGAATGTACTGACATTGGAGCTGGTACAAAAAAACGTGCTGGATTGTAAATATTATTTTTAAGCTACTGCTATTTTTATCATTTCCGAGAGTGCGATTGTTTTTGCGTGGCTTTTAATCTCGTTTTCGTTGCAGTCGATGGACGTTCGGTGAAGAATCTTGCACTACATGTGTGACTCGTCTAGGCTTGACGGTAGTAAACAATCAACAGGTTAGACGGAAAGGTGTTGACAAACAAAACTTGATAATGGCGACCAACCATTCACAAATCGGAAAATGGTGAGCATGCTGACGACACAGAAGATTTATCGACTGATGTGGTCGGTGTATTCTCGGTGGCTCGATAAATGTGGCGAAAAAGCAGCAGCGCTAGTCAAAGGAGGGTAGCGGAACATACGGAAGTCTCCGACAGCACCATATTTTCAGTGCAAAGAAGTACACCCCAGCAAAGTTCGTTACTCGTTGCAGCTTTGTTTTCCGCTACGCTTGACACTCCGTGATTTCCTTGGAACACGTCAACGTTTGACCGTTCGTACTGACGGATTCGAACGATTCTCAAGACCATATGCACCATAGCGATTACAGGCCACTTGCCAAGTAAAGAATGCCACCTAAGCTTTGACACTGCTACCGAGCAACGTTGACGGAAGCTCGTGCTCAACGGTTTCGGATCCTCCAGCTACTATTTCCGTCCGACCTTCATCGTCACTCCCTTCATCATCCAAATCAATCTCTTCTTCATTTGCGATCTCCACGACCTGCTTCTGCCGCACATTCCGTTCCATTTCAGATTCCGATGTCTCCACTTTCCTTTTCTTCCCAGCATCCAGTTCGGCAGCGGGCACATCAAGTTGCGCTTCCAACGCGGCCATAGCATCACCGGGAATGGCAGAAACGGGTATCGAAGCTGCAACCATCCCTGCAATTTTTGACGACTTTCCATCATGAGCAGGAATTTCTGATGCGACATAGTTTACTTGAGAATACTGGGCCACCACCGAGCGCTTGATGCGCAGCATTTCAAGGAACGTGTGCTCAGAACCGTGCGATACCTCAAACTCATGCCACACCTTCCAAAACGACGTTTCATACAGTCGAGGGTCGCAGAATTGCGACGCATGGGCGTAGATAGCTCGTGCGCGGTCAATTTCGCCCAGTTTTGTCTCCATTTGTGCAAACTTCAGACACAAATGCGGAACGCACTTGTCCGGCAGTTTCGCGACACCACTTTTGTAAACATCTCGTACCTTCGCCACACCGAAAAACTTTTGGGCCTTCTTGATGTATTTATCATACAGGGCAAGCTTGTCGTCATCAGGCACTGCGTCGGACGCACGCTCGTAAATAGTCATCACATTGCGCAGCATGCCGTGCTGCTCCTCAAAATCGGCAAACTTGTCGTAGAATCGATAAACAGACTTGGCCGGGGCAGCACAGATGGCTTGCTCGTACAAATCACGAGTGCGCTCTATCTTCGCACCAGCGTACCGTTCCACAAACTTGGTCAGGTAAGTCTCCCACAGAACCCCAGCATGCGGAAACTTCGGAAACAGCGCCAAGCCGCGCTCGTATACGCGAAATGACTCCTCAAAGTACTTATTTTCCTCCAAGTATGCCGCGAAGTTTAGTACCATCTGAGGCGTAATGATTCTGAGCTCAAAGACTGCATCATATGCAGCACGAGTCGACTCGAGGTCACCAAGACTCTCCTCCATGTCTAAGCGCAATGTCCACAACTTCACACTGAGATGCACAGTGTCCTTGGTTGTCAGTGCCTGCTGTTTGCGTACGCGAATAGTATGTGAGGCTGGAACGGCGCAGGCGTTCCGCACGATTTCAAGCGCCGTGTCAAAATTTTCGTGTCGAAGCTCTAGTTCCGTCCATTCACAGTACACAGCCGCGAGTTCTTGTGGATTGGACCAATCTACGCTAACAGCCTTCCCGAAGATCACACGCGCATTAGTCAAGTCCCCATGCTTCTCATAAAATTTGGCGAACTGGATCCAGAGCGTTGGCAATCGGCCACCTGACTTGGTCGGGTCAACCGTTTGTACGGCCTCAGCGTACGTGCGAATAGCTTTCGGTAGGTCGGACTTGACCAGCCCGATACGTTTTTCCCATTCCCGCACGTTGTGCGGGTTTTGTCGCAAGAGAACCGAGTTAAGTAGCAGAGGTCGTCGTTCAGCCACATCTTCATAAATCTTCAGCAATCGGTCCACCTGCGCTTGGTGGTCTATCCGATCGTCATCCATGTCCGTATCATCCTCTTCATCTTCTTCATTTTCTTCAGCTGCCAAAGCCATCTCGGCGGTAAGCATAGCCTCAATAAACTTCACGTAAGCGTCAAAGATCATACTGAAGTCACGAACAGTAAGCACCGTGCATATTCCCTCTTCGTACACATCTCGCGCCGATTCAAACATCCCAAGTCGAACAAAATACGTCGCCAACGAGCACCAAAGTCGTCCTGCTTCATCACGGAACTGGGCCATTCCACTACGCAAGATTGCTTCTACGTCCAGCGACTTTGCCACACGCGTTGGATGCTGCGATACCATGTCACAAAGCTGCATCCACATACTGTGCGGTGTCCGGTCCGTGCTCATCTCTTTCTCCTGCGACGTCTCAATAAGCGTCACAAGCTGTAAGCTCGCCTCTCCATAGAGCTCCACCGACACGAGATAGTCGACGAGCTCTCCGCGTTTTGACGGTTCCAGCATCAAGTACCTCTTGTACACACGCACTGCGGTCCGCGGCACGCCAATCTCCTTGACAAACGCCAAGTACAGTGCCCATGCACGATGGTGCTGAGTAATGGGCAGCGCCCGGAGCGCTCTGTCAAACACATGGCGACGTGCTGTCACCACGTGCATCTCTTGTAACACACTCAGATAGTCCAGCCACAGTCTCGGCATGGTAGAAAGTTGCGCCAGTGCGCGCTCGTACAGCGCCACGAGTTGTGCGTACAGAGACGAGTCCACGCGCTGTCCGCGCACTTGGACACCGTGCATGTCATCGAGATACATTTTCCAGAGTTTGTAGCTGCGTGGAAGGGATTGTAAGCCACGCTCGTATACCGTATACCGAGTAGTAACGGGAGCGTCCGACAGTGCAGCAAGGTACGAGGTCCACGTCTGTACAGCGAATGGCTGGCGAACAGCTTCTTCTTCGTACTCGGACAGCGCGTCATTTTCCTGCTACAAAATAAATACGAGCATCAGCAGCAGAAGAAGGAGAAGCAGGCAATGGAAGATGAGAGGTGGTTAGTGTAGCGGTAGAGGGAGCGGAGAGAGGGAGAGAGAGCTAGAGAGAGAGAGAGAGAGGCGTACCATGTTTGCAGACGAAGTGGCCAAACGTAATTTGGTGTCGTGTACAAACGTAAATGTGGTGCACGTGAAAATAGTGCGACTGTCGTCCCCTCGACCAGTGGCGACTGCGGCAAAGCCTAGTCGAGTTTTATTGAGAGGTTCCTAGTTTAGGTTCAACCCGACGGACAAGACATGCACGAATCAGAAAGATGACTCGAACATGTGACAGGATGGTGGACCTGAGTCCTCGACAAGCTTTTTATGCTCCAGTCACGCACAAGGAAGCACGCGCATTGCGTTTGAGTACATAGAGAAGCTGATCAATTCGAACAAGCTTACGAAACTTAAAGCTCAAGAAGCGGCTCTTGCTAGTGGAGCAGAGAACGAGTGTTTAGGCGTGAGTCATTGGGGCACGGCCTCCTGAGGCAAGTGCAGCCACAGCATCGATCAACGGCAGCCCGTTCTTGTTTGATAATATTGCGCTGGAAGCCCCAACGACCCCGACTGCCTGATCTACAACGTCAGGGAACGGTGTTGACGGCCGATGTATTGACGAGGTAGATGAGGTCGAAGGAAGGGCTCTGCAATACTAGAGCATCCATTTTGACGGTAAAACTTGAGCAGATCTTGATCCCGTGCGCTACAAATTAGATTTTGTCGAGAAAGCCTGCCGATCATTTTTCGATAACGGCCTCAATTAATACGCGCTATTTGCGTGTAAAATACATGATGTCAAGCAAACACCAAAAGTGTAACGGGGTAGCCCGTTGCATGAAATTGACACCAAACGGTGTCAACAGGGATGTTGTCTAGCATGACAATATCCTACCAATTTTATCCGAGATGGATAATATTGAAGGAATATTATCCCCTTTCGATAATATAAATGCGCTGCTCCAAGATTGGTTGATATAAGACATATCAACCATAGATCGCCACCAATCGCTGCTAGACGCGCGCAATGAGTGGTGAGCAGGTTGTCGTCATACGACGACGTAGTTTAATATAGTTAGATAAAGATTAAAGTTATATTGATAGCTTAACAATATTAAATACAGTTCTCTTTTTACCCTTACTTGAACGAGTCGTTCAAGTACATTAGCTTCCTCTGCACGTACTAGTGTACGTGAAGTTTCGCGGCACCCCAAACAAAGGGTGTCCCGTTACACCTGGTACACTTCGTAGCCCGTCCAACGACTACTTAGTGTCCGTCCAACGTGAACATGTTGGACGTAGAAAACGACAGCTTTCACGTCACACGTGAAGGCTACTCCCATCTGAGTAAATCAGATTGGGAGGTAGTCGGCCGCATGAGTGTGCTCATGGGCGAACTCGCCATCAGTAATATGTTGGAGTGTCTAAGCAGAGACCAGCAACACGCTGCTATCAACAAGTTCCTACAAGTGGAATTTGCCGTCGAAAGACAAAAGATAGCCATGCTACACCAGCAAGGCTCTCATCAGTCGATGGGCGGGCCGACGCACATGCGTCGACCCGAAACCTTGAAGATAGATATCTCAAGGTACAAATGAACCGATAAAATTCCCTTTCGAGATGGTTCGTCGAGTTAGACGACGCCATCAGGGCCCGTCACATCGAGGGTGACGAGATGCAAGTCACCTTCGCCCTGTCAAATTTGATAGGATGAGCAAAGACTTGGGCCTTAGGGCTCAAGCTTCACGACCCAAACGTGTTTGAGTCGTTGCAGATCTTGAAGTCTCGGCTCAAAGAGACGTTTGAGCCTCCGGGAGACGAGTTCAGAGCACGCTCTGCACTCTTGGGGCTAAAGCAAGGCAAGCGTGACGTGCACGCTTACGCACAGCACCTGCGCTACCTTGCGAGTAGCGTTACGGAGAACCCTGCTGATGAGCACACGCTCATCGACGTGTTCATCTACGGTCTTGTGGATGGGCCGGTGAAGACCTACATGTTCCAGGAGGACTTCTATACGCTGGAAAGGGCGATAGCGTATGCGTAACAAGAAGACTTTAGCCTGAGACGTTCTCAGGCTAGCTCGTCAAACTATCGTCCGACGAGGCGACAGGAAACAGGAGGCCCCGGAGCCATGGACCTCTTTTACATCGAGAGTGAGAATTCTCTCTACCTGAATCACAAGCGAACGGCAAGATGCCATAGCTGTCAGAAGATTGGACACTATGCTCATGAGTGTAGTGTACCAAGCACTGCAACACGTCCAAAGACAGGACGTGATGACCACCTTTGGCCAAGAAAGGGTCCGAGGCGTGGGCCTGACCATGTCGCTAAGCCGCGACAGCAAGTCGGACCGTCAAAAAACGGTCAGGGTCAGTAGGGGCGGAGAACCCTGCTGATCCAGCAACGGCAAGATAATTTGCAAGACTCTTGACGAAGATTGCTCCCAACACACAGTCACTGTGTGTTACTGCCCTTAGTGATGAGGAGTCTCTCATCACTTTGAAGATGAAAGTGACAAGTGGAATGTCACTTCGCGTCCTAGTTGACTGTGGTGCATCGGACAGTTTCATTCGATGCCAGTCACTAGAGGATAGTAGGCTCAACTATGTTAGACGAGAGTTCCCTCCAACGAGGATGGCGGTGTGCATTTCAACAGGCGCATCCGTAACAGTGAACAAACGCGTAGTGGGAATCCACTACACGCCAGAAGCAAAGCAGTCCGACATTGACGTTATCGTATTAGATTTGACGACAAATTTGATTTCATTCTCGGTCTGCCATGGCTTAGAAAGTACCAGCCATGGATCAGCTGGCAGCATCGATACGTAAAGATGCCTGCCGTTTGCTCATCGGATGGCCATCTGATGAACGTCTTGGAGCGTCCACAAGCGTGTGGATGTACTACGAGTGAGTGCGATGGCCTCACTTGTGGTACGGTCGTTAGTACGATTGCACACGATCACAATGTAGAAGGCCACTGCACTGTGGAACCAGCTTCCGGCACCTGTGTAGAGACACAGGCTGCGCCGGAAGTTCACCACTCGAAGAGACCGAGTGGACTGGAACACGGATGCACACCAAGAAGGGTGCATCCAAGAAGAGAGATTAGTGTTGTTCAGGATGGACAACACGCTGAAGCGAGATCGACTATCAGAAAGTCGATCGTAGAGCAAGCCCGCTCGACTGAAAGAGAGTCGATCGAAGAGGACGTGACCGTGCTAGTACACTTACGGTCAGTACCCGTAATGGAAGAAAGTTCCAGCGTTCCTGAAAGTGATAACTCCCGAGAGAGTTATGTTGAGGTGTGGATCCCCAACCACCTGCGGATGTGTTTTTCCATGAAATCACCGAGACAGTGAAGGTCTTAATGAATAACGGATCAAGTGTAGGCGCTTATACACTTGATATGGTTACACCTCCGAAGTCAGCTTCGGAGGTAATCAAGTTGCTAACGCTAGAATCAAAAAGACTCTTGCAAGATCTACGTAGTGGCAAGATCAAACAGATCTGAGCAACTGTCACAGAGGAAGCACATGTCACCGATATTCGGTCGGCACAAGTGTTTGCTGAGAACGAACGGGCTCCCAGTAGCTCATCGATGTAAGAGAGTGTCCTCGATGAGAAGACCCGGATTGAGCGATACACGTCTCAATCTTGGGAGTCTTTGAAGAAGAATCCTTTGTATAAGGATTTGGTTGGATCAGGGATGTTTTCCCGGTATCCGTGCCATGCGAGCTGCCCAAGGACAAAGGCACTCGGCATTTGATCGGACTGAAACCTGGTTCGAAATACTGTGCTATGAAGCAGTGGCCACTTCCTCGTGAACAGGTAACAGCGATCGAAAATTCTTAGCCGATCGATCAGCGGCTGGTCATGTGAAGAAATCAACATCCCCACACAGCTCTCCGACCTTCTGAGCGCGAAAGGCCACAGGAGGGAGGCGGATAGTGCACGCATTCAACAAGTTGAATGCTGCAACAGTACCGGCAAAAACGCCTATACCGAGGAAGTGTTGTAAAAGATACGCCTCGGCATGACGTTTCAGAAAAGTGTTCTGTAGCTCAGCCGGTTTGGTGTGTCAGTACCATCCCAAAGGTCACTGGTTCGATACCGGTGGGGCGTGTAAATAAAAAGGTAAGCCTTCGGGATTTGGTGTTTGGGGTCACCAGCACTTACCTGCCAGACAGTGAAGTCCCCCACTTTCGGTGCGTTTGGGTGTTTAGAAACGCATGACCAGAATTAGAAACGTACGACTAGACGATTAGTAATGCGCAATGTGGTAATTACTAATGCGCGACTAGACGATTAGTAATGTGCGATGTGGCGATTACTAATGTGCGACTAGACGATTAGTAATGCGCGATATAGCGATCAGGAACGTATAGTCGAAGAATCAAGTAGGCTTAGAGTAGCGACAGAGTTTGTGAACTAAGGACCTAAATATATTCACTTTGCATTTTACCAGCTTTAACCAACGACTTTAAGAAGGACGTCATCATAAATGGTATGGCAAAAAGTGCCATCTTTTCCTCCATCGATCTGATGGATGGATTCTATCAGATCCTCATGCGTGAACCCGGGAAATCCCATACAAAGCAGCGAGCACCCCCAGTGATATGCTCCGGGAGTGGATTGTGATGCTACAGGGGCTAAGTAAGGCCCCTGCAACGTTCAACAGATGTGTTACGAATCTGTTGCGATCGGTGCGCAATTTCGCACCGAGTTACTTCGACGATGTAATCGTCCATAGCCGGGCTATGGATGGAAAGACGGACGTGGAGGTTCGTAGAACCCACGTCCGGAAGGTTCTTACACTAATGCGAGAGCATAAGTTGATCGCGAACCTCAAGAAGTGTATATTCGCAGTGAACAAAATACCACTTCTTGGCTGCACCGTGGCTAAAAACGGCGTATGCCCTGATCCGGAAAAGATCAAGGCGATTAGCGACTGGCCTGTGTCAGTCGACGTCAAGGGACTTCGAAAGCTTCTTGGCTTAGCGTCGTACTTGCACAAGTACTCGCGCAACTACGCCGAGATTACCGTACGTATCTCTCGTCGGCTAATCGAAAAAGCGAAGGGTAGTCATGGAGTGCTGAGTGTCAGCACTCATTCGAAGGTATCAAGAAAAGTTTGATACAATCGCCTGTGTCGGCGATTTCAGACCAGGACTGACCATTCCATGTGGCCTGTGACGCCAGCGATTTTTCAATCGGCTGCGCGTTAATGCAGTACGACTCAGACGGCGTTGAGCGCGTCGTTGTTATCAATCACGTCAGCTGCAAGCAGCTGAGCATAAATACCCGGTGCATAACAAGGAAATCCTTGCCATGAAGTATGCACTGGCTAAGTTTCGGGTATATCTCTTAGATGATAAGCGCCTCATCGTTTATACCGACCATGCGTCGTTACGCACGGTCGTAAACAGTCCACACCTCTCAACGAATGGCGAGGTGGCTGTATATCTTCGCGGAGTACAACTTCTCCGTCGAGTTTGAACCAGGAAGACTTAATGTCGTCGCTGATGCTCTCTCGCGTTGGCCCGATTCCGATCCGACTGCTCAAGCCAACAGTGGGGGTGATCCCACTGTTGCGACACTATCATTGAGTGTTCCGTCGTCGATTCCGCTCGACGACGTGCGAATAGCATACGCAGAAGATGAGTCTCTTCTGCGATTGATGGATTACGTATCCAATCCGTGTAATCAAGCTTTGAAAAGCTTGTCGTCTCAGTACCGCTCTTCAACCGAACGGTATTCTGTTCGTGATGGAATGCTGTACTATACAGTAGTCAACGGCGACACACCTCGTGTCGTCGTTCCGGCTCACAATGATTTGCGACTGCGCATCATGTATGAGTATCACGATGCCCCAACAAGTGGGATCGCGGTAGGGAAAAGACTTACCTCACGGTGAGTCGTGACTTCTACTGGCCCCGCCAGTATGAGTTTGCGCGCAAATACATTCGCGCTTGCGAAATTTTTCAACGTGTGAAGCCTAGTCCTTCATCCCGCGCACCCTTGCAGCCTCTCCCGATTCCAGCAGAGTGTCGGCAGTCCGTATCGATGGACTTCGTCTTCGGGTTTCCCAAAGACGTTCACAAGAATACTGGTATTCTTGTGTTTGTTGATCGATTCAGCAAGATGGTATATCTTGTTGCTCTGCCCGAGTCGATCACAGCCCAAGGATGTGCTCGTGTCTTCATCGATACTACCTTCCGACTTCACGGGTTACCCCGTGAACTCGTGTCCGATCGATACATCCGCTTCACAGCGGAGTTCTGGCAATCCGTGTTCCGTTCACTTGGAACACGTTTGACGATGTCGACTTCTGACTATCCAGAAACAGATGGTCAGACGGGACGCGTCAACCGCGTCCTCGAGGAGATACTTCGAGGGTATGTCCACTCATTTACGATTTGGAGTGAGTTCATGCCGATAGCGGAATTCACCATCAACAACTCGGTGTGTGCGTTGTCGACGCACACACCGTTCTTCGTGAATAGCCTACGCTATCTACGTTTACCCGCCTTCTTATAGTGTGACTCTAGTTTAAGGGGGGTGGACTCGCTCGAACATAAACCGATCTGTTCTTGCTCATCACACGTCGACAATGATGTCGACGTGATGGATGCCGATGCCGATGCGATCGATATCGATGATGATGATGACGACGATGCCGGTATTTTTAGGGATCGCCAATGACTGCCACAATGAGGACGATAACACGCTCACTGGTAAAAGACAACGTTCTTTCAGCAGTGCAGACGAAGCGCACTGCTGTTGACAAGGATGCATTAGCAGAAAAAAGTCTACTGACTCGCAAAGCGGTGGTCTGCTTCGCTCAAGACTCTATAGCAAAAGCAATAGAAAAGCAGAAAAGAAACGCAGACAAACATGTAAGAGCAAATGTTCTTTCATTTAATGAAGGAGACCTAGTTTTACTGTCTACAGTAAACTTACCGAAACACGCAGTGACAAACGTGAGCAGCAGTAATTAATGCCCAGGTACATCGGTCCATTTCGTGTGTTGCGCCAAATGGGCAACGCATACACGATTGAACTGCCCCGTAAGATGCGTACGCATCCTACGTTTTTCTTTGGTCGTCTCCGCCCGTACTATCAGCGGGAGCCCGTTTCGAGATGCGAAGAACACCTCCGTGGTCGAGAGACGAGCCCACCCTCGAGTGGTCCCGTTTCAACGAGCCAGTCTGGTAGACTAGCGAAGCGACCTGTTCACGCAGTTCAGCGATGTCTCAACGAGCTACAGCCAGCTCATCACGAATAGAACGAGTCGAACGTTCATTCTCAAGTTGCGCGAACGCAAAAGCGGCACGATCGTCCGAACGATCGTGCGTTAGGGAATTGTAATTATCCCTTACAAGATCCTCAAGCTTATAAAGCCGAGTCTGTTCGTAAGCCAGGTCATCTTGCAACTGTTCCGTTACAGATATCAGCTCTTGAACATCAAGCTGATCCGACCCTCGAGCCGGATCAGGTGTTCCCGCCGCCACCACATCCTTTGGTGGACTCAAGCGGTGGTCAATGCTTTCTAGTGGAGCGTATTTTGAACCACCGCGATCTGAATGGCGTCCGGACGAGTTACCTTGTCCGCTGGCGTGGCAATCCACCGGCGTGGGACAACTGGGAGCCTCGTGCCCAGCTGATTGTTGATGTCCTTGGTCTCGTCGAGCAGTAAGACGAGACCCACCCGCTGCGTTTAAAGAAGGGCAGTCGGAAAACGACCTCCCCGAACGCGAGTACAGGGATTGCAAAGTGTCAATCCCTTTGACCATCTCGGAAGAGATGTGCGCCCTCCAGTAGGGATAATTGGGGAGGAAGGCCTCCCTAGGGGCACGGTTCGAGTTGTCTAGGCAACCTGGACACGAATCACCCCAGGAGAGACAGAGTAATCCTGCCTCTCTTGAAAGCCGGTGCAACTTGTATCGCGCTCCGACTGGGTTGCGTTTCTCAAACCTGATGCGGGCTGCATCAAGTTTGGCGAGCCAGGCCTCACGGCCAATGCACTCGATGTTGTGGATGAGGGCATTCCATCCTTGCACCAAGGCTTTGCCGTCTCGAACACGGCTACCATTGTATCACCGATGTTTAAGTACACATCGGTGAAGAACTCTTTCTCAGCACGGATAGTTTCCGTGCTGGAGTTAGGTGGGCAAATCTTCCTGCAATCGAACAACGGGATTCGATCCCGTTCGGTAGTCACGTCGGCGAACCGATCCAACTTCTTGGATGACGGCATCCAAGGAGACTCCACTTGAGGAGCGTGGCGCAGGACATTTCGGTCCCTTGCCTCTTGATTGGTGTCAGCACGAGCGCTGACACCAGTGACACCCCGATCCCTCGAGTTACTTCGCCCGTGGTGAAGCTCAGAGGCATCACCACCATCCCCGCGCGTCCTATAGTTGGATGAACTTGCGTGAGGCGGAAATTCATCGGAGTAATCACTCGATCCGAAGATCTCGGTCATGATGCTGCCGCGCTGACCAGAGCCAGTCATCCTGGATCTTGCAGTGTCCGCCCCGGGTGATACGGAGGCGTGAGAAGTCGCCTTCGAGTCGGATGCATCATCTGACTCGCCAGAATAGATGAGCTCTATATCAGACTCATTTTGGTTACGACTCGTGGTACCCGCTGCAGACGCAACGGATGTACCTGTTGCACGTGGTGACTCACCACGTGGACTATTCACGACAACAGGCGACGAATCGCCTGCTGCTGAGGTGTGAGAGGCAATTTCCGCGGCCGCACGCATGCGTGCAGCCGCCCTTCTTGCTGCTGCAGTAGCAGCTCGCGTGGTTCTCGAAACCATGCGTGAACTTGTCAAATGGACGAAATTTGACCAACAAGTGCTCCCTTTACCAGAGTGATCCAACGGTGTTCATCCTGTCCCAATAAACTCTAATTCAATAAACGGGTGATCGATGGTTAAGGGGGGGGTGATGTAACGGGGTAGCGCGTTACATGAAATTGAAATTCATGATGGTTAGGGGGGGTGATGTAATGGGGTAGTCCGTTACATGAAAATATTATCCAAAAGTGGATAATATTCCTTCTATATTATCCATCTTGGATAATATTGGGAGAATATTGTCATGCTAGACGATACTCCTTGGTGTCGATAGGAATATTGTCTTGCATGACAATATTCTACCGATATTATCTGAGATGGATTATATCGAAGGAATAGTATATCCTTTCGATAATATTAATGCGCTGCTCCAAGATTGGTTGATATAAGACATATCAACCATAGATCGCCACCAATCGCTGCTAGATGCGCGCAATGAGTGGTGAGCAGGTTGTCGTCATCCGACGACGTAGTTTAATATAGTTAGATAAAGACTAAAGTTATATTGATAGCCTAACTATATTAAATACAGTTCTCTTTTTACCCTTACTTGACCGAGTCGTTCAAGTACATTAGCTTCCTCTGCACGTACTAGTGTACGTGAAGTTTCGCGGCACCCCAAAAAAAGGGTGCCCTGTTACATCTATGATGACAGCACGACACAGTTGTGCACCGATGCTCCGATCGAAGCGTACTATGAGGCTGAGATCCTCTCCAAAACAGGTCGGACAGAATAGGTATGGTGCGTGCATTGTGTAGGCAGATCATTTTTTCCACACATTGACGAGCAAATTCCTTCCAGCACGGTTTTTCTATCGCATTCTGTCGGTCCGGCTACTCTACATTGTGAGAACCTGCTTTTTTGAGCTAAACTAATACCTGCAAAACCTTTAAAAGCTGGGTCAAACGATATTATCTTGTAAAAACATCTAAAGCTGGTAAAAAGTGGTAGTAAGTGGTAATCACATCAAAAACTTGGTAGAAAGTATGAATAACTGTTCAAAAGTCACGGAACTTTTTATCAAACATCTTCAGTCCACCAAATGCAGTCACGGTGTGAGCGTAGCCAAGTAGCTGCCGATCGTCTCGTCCCTCGCACTGACGCCAAATCCTCATGCCTGGGTACCACCATCTCTACACGATCAGATAGGCGCCGCCAGGAAATCCTGATCCGATTCGAATGAGCGATTGGCGATCCGATCACTTAAAAACCGTTGTCACAGACCCCGAGAAAGTCTTCTCACTCGTTCGCATTGTCGACCGTCACGACACTTCTGGTTGATGCAGTTAGTTCATCCGCCTCAAAGGTGACGACTGGTAGGTTATCACGAATCTTTATAGTGTCACCGAGAGCCTAAACAATCACGAAGACTGAATAGCGTATAGGAAGGATATCGCTGCGTCGTCGTCATTACTTTGAAGAATATGGCTGAGTCAGTGAACGATCGCAACTATAGAAAAGATACGTATGATGAGCGCGCTGGAGCTCTTCGAGTCCACGTTGAGGCTTTTGGGTGAGGAGAGATCGGTGAGAGCAATGGCGCACGTGGAGAAGCGTCTATTTGACAAGGAAGAGATAAAAGTTGACACCTTTTTTATCGTGCATCGGCTGTAAACTTGGCCACTTCAAGCTGCCAGTTCTTCTGCTCAGTGCCGAACGACTGACAGCTGCAAGTGGCCATGAAGTGCATTGACACGCATGACGCAGCCGAATGGGACCATACCACTTCAGTGTTCAGGTACTTATAAAGTCCTTAAGGACGAAGCTGTGGTAGGTGAACCCATGAAGACTTGTTGCGTCACGATTCTATTGTGTTGCGCTTCCGGATAAACGCACACACCTGACGTCCTACAGATAGGAACGGCTGTTGTACCGCTGGCTGGATGGGAATCATTCCTGTCATATGAGCAAGGACGATGTTTTCAGTAACTGTGGAATGTACATGGGCCATTTGATGGCGGTTGTAACACTGGACCCGACATCCAGCAAATGAAAACGTAGCTGTACGACGGAACAAGAGATTGACGGGGACTGGTATTCGATAGGCACATACATTCACGTACACGACTGTGCCAGGTGGTTCGCAAAGTCTCCAAAGACGCGAGTAGCTGGCTCAGACCACCACTATACGAACATGAGCGCTACATACACCGCACCCCAAGCACAAACCAATATGTGCACAGTATACAAAGAGGTCGCGCTCCTTGGCTCGATCCCATGCTGGCATCTAAATCTGCACGTACACGTGAGAACTTGCAGCAACGGGCTTCGACGTAGTCGTAGCAGCATTGACGCTGCTCGAGGGAGACTGCGTCGAGGCCGTGGACTTTGCTACGTCCTCCTTGTCCAGTCCAAACGAGTTGCGCGACTTGTACGTGGTCGCGCATGACGCAGGAGTTTGCGCGGCAAACAAGAGCTTGGCCGGCAGCTCGTTCTCCAGATCTCCCGTGCTCTGCACCACAATCTCTTCCAGTTCTTTCGTGTTGCGTAGCTGCAGCTGGGCAAACTCTAGGAACAATCTCTTGAGCTCCACCGCCTTCTGACCACGGAAACGTGCGACCTCATGCATCACGCGCGCGTGCACACGCTCAAACTCATCCTTGGCAGCAACAAGGTCATTGCTCAGCCGAGTGGCTGACGGAGAGTCAGGGCCGTCTCCAATCACCGCCTTCCGGTGCGCGGCCAGCTGTGCCTGATACAAATACCGTCGGTCCTCACGTACATCCAAGGCGTTCTGCACGGCCTTGACCCAGCGAGCAATGTCGTCGACGTTTATCGAAAAGGCCTGGAGCTCCGTGTCCATCTGACGGGCACGTGTGTCCAGGATAACGATGAGTGCGCTATAGTACGACGTCGGCATCTCAGCGTTCTCTTCCTCAGCGTCAGCCACCCAATTGAGACACTCAATGAGGTCGCAGTGGGCACCAGCTGCCACCTTGTTCTGTTGATGGGCCGCCCGAACTTTGCGCTTGAGCGACTGGACCTGAGCCTGCAACTTGGTCATGTACTTGACGACGTTCGTGAACTCGGGGTCTTCAATCACGTTACTGCTACTGCTACTGCTGTTGCTGTTGTTGTTGTTATCGTTGTTGTGGTTCTCCCCACTCTCTCCGTTTGTATTGCGAGGTGGCGAGCCAAAGATGCCGAGCGTGTCGTTCTCGACCACGCGCTGGCACGTCTTGCTCCACCATTTCTGGAGCGACTGCGTGCGCTGTACGACCACCGACATGGACGAGGCGTTGAGTCCATCCCCCTTCTGCGTCTCCGCCTTGAGTGCCGTGAGCTCGACGATCGAGCACTCGAGGAAGCGGCTAAAGTACATCGAGTGGCACAGCTCGTCGTGACCGGCGACCTTCTGCAAGAAACACTCGAGACCCGCGCGACGGTGTTCGAGGAACTCGGGGCCTTGCAAGAGCCCCACGACTTTCACGGGCAACGGAGGGATCACGTACCCTGCGCAGTGCTTGGAAAGCTGCTGGTGCAGCCAGAGAAAGTCCGAGTACCGGCGCTCGACGACGACGTTGTTGGCTGACGTGACTTTGTAGACAAAGAACGCGTTCACGCCGTCGCCGACTTTGCCGGCCGTGCCTACACTGATGTCGGTCACAAAGGCGCTGCTGCAGCTCGTGTCTAGGTTCAACTTGTTCATTGGCTGTGTAAGAGGTTGAGAACAACGAGGAGACAATTGAGTGGGTGGAAAGTAGTGGGGAGCAGCGAGGATGGACGGCGTGCAGTGGTGCGACAAGAGCTTCTTGGGAAATGACTTGCGTTGGAGCAGCGTCGACGGTCGTGGCGGGCAGCTGCTCGTGTGCGGTGGAGAGTTTGCCGGATGTCTCAAAGCGGTCCGTCCGAGGAGAGCCTGAAACGGATGGACGGCCGCCCGGACGGCGCGAATCGCTTCCTCATCCAGACGGGATGAGCTTCACCATCCTCACTTTACAACTAGACAGGGAACGGCCGTCGCGGACGCATACAAACGCGCTGATTGATTCGATGATGACGGCACGACGCTGTGCAGGTGGACGCTGCGCATAGACCAGGAAATGTGGAGGGGACAAGCTTATGTGGCTTGTGGAGGGGTTTGTAGGTTGACTGACTGCTTATTGTAAAATTGGAAAGGGACGGGAAGGGGACGGGAGCAGGAGATTCGTACTGTACTGCAAACACTGCATCCGACTGTTTCACTTGTAGTCGAACAGCTCAGCTGAGTCGCGGTGGTAGATGAGTTACCCATTTCCCCGAAACAGATGGGCGCGCGTGCAGCCGATCCTCAAGTTGATCCATTTCTTTCGGCTTAGAAACGCTTTTTGTGAAGTGTTTGTGCATTTTTGGGACCGTCCGTCGCAAGCTGGACGTTAGATTCAAACGACCTTTTTCACATCAGCGTTTCATCGATTGGCCCTGTGCGGCTGAAAAGAAGCATACGAATGCGGATGCAAATGCTGTCCGTGACTGGAATTTCCTCTGTAGCTGCTCTGTGTCTTCTAGTCATTTTTACATCACCAAGATGATTGAACACTACTTATTGGATACGCTCGTCTTGCAGAAAGATGCCTGCGGTAGCAGACGGTTGCACCACGGTAGCCCACGTACAACATTGTGTCATGCGTTGTACTTGTTAAGCTTCGAGTCGAAACTGCCGCCGAAAGAGTAGATGAGCTGCCAACTGCAAGTCAGACGTGACGGGGATCCATCGCACTCGAAGCCGCTGGTGTAGCGACGATTCCAGTGTGGCCTGGTCCCCTTCCCCAGTATCGAGAAAAGTATTTGCTATCGAGATACAGGATCATACTGGGTCATTGCATTTGCCACACAGGGGCCGCATGCAACAGACAGGCAAGTTGCGGTAGCTCCATTAACAGCTGCAACGACCTGTATCGAAAGCCTCGTATTCAGACACGGACAATGCCATTTGACAAGGACAATACAGGGCATTTCACATGGGCGGGACTCAGCTTATAGTTTGTAATAAACAAGTGAAGTGTGTGTGGTGCGCCGGTTCTTGCAGCTCCGTGAAGCCAACATCAGCAACGCATGGACAAGCATCCGGCTGACTGGGAGTCAACTGCGAATTTTTGACTTTTTACTACCGCAAGGGGCGATGCGAAGCTGTCTTATTGTAGCGAGCTCAGGGGCGGCGATGGATTGCATTTCGCAAGTATTGGTGCACTACATGGCCAATGACTGTATGAAACTTGTACTGGTGCTGTTAAACACAAAGTCGCAATTTGTCGTGTTACATGCTCAATACAGATCGAGGATTGCGCCGCTTGACCTCGTTCGCGAGCGTACTGCTGGCCCATTAGTGACAGCTTGAGGGTTGGCTACGCTTGCTCGTGTTTGTTTCTTTTGTGCAGGCTTTGAACAAGTGGACACATTCCGGTTCCGCCTCGTTTGTTCGCTGCCTTTTAGTCGATCCCAGCAACGTCGAGCTAGCTACAATCTTGGTTCACAGCGTCGACAATATCGCGACTGCTCGACTAGTTAAAACGACTTGAAGTCAAGGCAGTCCAAGCAGTTTCTGTCTAGCGATCGCAGTACTTCAACCACGCAAGTCCGTATTGCAGAAGATTTCCGGACGCCTTTCTTCGGCCAAAGATTGCAGCGCTATACAATGCTAACACATGGCTCGCTCTCGTGCTAATCAATCTTGGTGCAGCCGCTGACGGCATTGTAGATCACCGAATACTTGACAATCGTCAACAACAGCAAAAGGTCGGACAGGGGGCCGTCCACCATCGGCCAAATATTGCAATGCATAAATATGCGGAAGCGGGAAATCAAGGTACCGAAGAGTGTAGCGGTCACCGCTATCATTGCCAAACGGAATGTTTGCCTCAAACCATAGCAATCACCAGGTCGTCACTTAAAGGAGCCCATACCACGTCGACAAGCTTACGAGTTTTTCACGATGTACATCTGTCCCTGCAATTAACAGTACATTTTAGCAAGCAGCACTGTCAGTAGAACCCTGTCGCTGGTTCTACAGCATCAACGATCTGCGAAGATTCGATCAGTAGCGGGCCACCACAGGCGGCACACGAGGCCAGTGCAGGCAACAAACGCATGCACTGAAAGTAGTCGTGCAAGTTTTTGCAGCCAGTCATGACTTAGTAGAAACGGATGCGGCGGCAACATGAAAGGTCGCAGTCCAAGTCACAGGTGCTGTTGTCGTTCACAGGTACTGATACGCGGATGAATCTACTTTTGAAACCGCCGGATCGAAACGGCAAAATGACCACCCAAACATCTGCACTAGCAACGCAGTCCGCTTGACAAAAGCTATGGTCGACAACGAGTTCGTCAGACTAACGTGAACGCGCAGAGGTGAAATTTGCTTAGAGCTTGCGATTTGGACGAATCGACCAAAACCTGGACTTAGTCTCCACTGGTGAATACTAAACTCATGAAGGATGCAAACACTAGCACACTCGAAGCCATCAGCCAGCAGACTTGAGATATGTCGAGCTGTGCATACGCATGCACAAACCATCGTCACAACATTCACATCGAAGCTAACTATGCACAACACGATCATGACAGGCAAGCGACAGCACTATACCGCGTCAACTCGATACAAAATGGAAGGAATAGCGACCGTGCTTGTCCACAGGAACGCCTCGAAAAAGCATCCAAAGTTTGTCCAGGCGCTGAACAGAAGAGAAAACAAAATTGAGAGAGAGAAATGCTAGCGCGACTTAGTTTTCATTCTACACCGTCCACACGCACCTCGGGTCCTCACCACCTGCCAAATTCGAGAACACAGCGGCTGTCATGGGTAGTAGCACGTACGGACATACTAGAAATCGCAACATCAGAAGATTCACACGTCTCTCGAATGCTCTACCCTAGTCACACGCTATGGAATGGATGCACAAGGACAGGATCGATCCCTAACGACTGACGCACAGACAAAAAGACCCCATGATGTCGAGTACGCGGCCGAAGCGACAATGACGCCCCCAAGTGCCAGCAATAGCAGCAATCCCGCTACACTCAGACGCGTATCTATGGCAGACCACCAAAAACGCCCATCACACAATTATCTCCATCACTCGTGAATCAACGGCATCACATCTTACAGAATTTCATGATTCGGCTTCTGAGTCGCGAAAGTATCCGCTGCCCAGTCCAATTCGTTAGTCTCTCTAGCAGTCCCACGCTTTTTAGCGATGTCGAATATAAGCCAATGAAAACTTTTCCAGCTTGTAAACCCCACAATAATAGCCAATCAAGACGGTTCATTTGCATCCAGCCAAATGCCCCGCTCATTTCCGACATGGCCGACGTACCGGAGCCCAACAGCACGGCAGCGACAGCTGGTCCCGCCACGTCTGCGGCCGCGGCATCCGCTACTGATGTCGCAATGCAGGAGAAGATGATCAACGAGGAGTACAAGATCTGGAAGAAGAACACGCCGTTCCTGTACGACCTGGTGATGACGCACGCGCTCGAATGGCCTTCGCTCAGTGTCCAGTGGCTGCCGAACTCTCATACGTACGCTACAATGGCTACAAAAAACAGGCTTTCATTGCACTGTTCTCGTGCACGTTGTGATGAAAAAAAGAGTTTATGAATGTGATGATGTTCTTACTGGGATCTGTTTGTCGTGTGTATGCTGCATGGACAGCTCAGCAGGAGACGATTTCTCTGTGCACAAGCTGCTGCTTGGCACTCATACATCTGGTTCAGAGCAGAATCATCTTATGGTGGCCGAAGTTCGGCTGCCTCTAGAGGACACGGAGATTGATGCGCGCAAGTACGACGAGGAGAGTCAGGAGCTCGGTGGCTTTGGAGGTGTTTCGGGCAAAGTGGACATCAAGATCCTTATTAACCATGATGGCGAGGTGAACCGCGCGCGCTTCATGCCGTCGGACGAGCTGATCGTGGCTACTAAGACGCCGCATGCTGAAGTGCACGTGTTTGACATTTCAAAGCGACCGTCGCAACCTGAAGAAAACTCGGGTTCGGATCCGGATTTCCGTCTGTTGGGTCACACGAAGGAAGGTTATGGTCTGTGTTGGGATCCACACCAACCCTTTCATCTCATCTCAGGCTCTGACGATGCTATCATCTGTGAGTGGGATATCCGCGGTGCTGGCAAGACAGTACAGCCATTGCACAAGTACCGAGGTCATAGTGACGTGATTGAGGACGTGGCGTGGCACATGCATCACGCTAAGATTTTTGGCTCGGTTGGTGATGACAAGAAGCTGCTCATGTACGTTAGCGTGCGTTAATGGGTGAGTGGATAACTGCTGGACGTCCTTACTGATTAGTCGGATGCATTTGCCGGTTGTTTTGTGTAGCTGGGATATGCGCTTGGAGAGTTACGACAAGCCAGCGACAACGGTATACGCTCACACCGCCGAGGCAAACTGCTTGGCATTTAGTCCGTTCAGCGAATATCTTGTTGCCACGGGCTCGGCGGACAAGCACGTGAACCTCTGGGATATGCGTAACATGAAGGCCAAGCTGCATTCGTTTGAGGGTCACAACGATGAAGTCTACCAGATCCAGTGGTCTCCTCACAACGAGACCATTCTAGGCTCATGCTCGGCTGATCGCCGCATGCATGTGTGGGACCTCAGCAAGGTGAGTTTACAACGTGCAAGGTCAGCTTCTGGGTTGCATGTCTGACTGTTCTTTGTTGATTTCTCTCCGACAGATTGGTGACGAGCAATCGCCCGAAGACGCCGAAGACGGTCCTCCGGAGCTGTTGTTTATTCACGGTGGCCACACTTCTAAAATCTCGGACTTTTCGTGGAATCCTAATGACCCGTGGGTGGTAGCTTCAGTGGCAGAGGACAATGTCTTACAAATCTGGCAGATGGCCGAGAACATTTACAACGAGGAAGACGAAGAGACGGAGCAGGCTGAAGTTGCCGAGGACGAGCTCGAATAAGTTGATACAAGCCTTTGTAGAGCTTTGAAAGGACCGCGCGTGCTGTACCTGTGCAGTCATTGATCGCAGTATGAACGAACGTACAAGACGCAAGGGTCATTGCCATGCATCTTAAGCATTGCCAGTCTCGAACGGGATCATTTGGTCCCTGACTCGGACAGGATGCTCAATTGCAAACAAGTACAAGATCTACAAAGCACGCGCCTATCTTGTACCACTTTGTGGTCTCGTACTCGGTCTTCGCTTTTTCTGCTGCGGCTTTCCCTGTAAAATGCTCTAGCGGTTGAACAGAGGTGTGAGTCGGCATTATTGATGGTTCGAGATCGAAAGCGATCTCGCTCTTAGTATGAGCTGCTATAAGCACGCAACCAGCTTGTTTCGCAAATGTCTATCCAACTGACTGAGAAGGTCGCAGATATTCGTGCCAAAGACAGTCCCAGCTCCAGTTCCAAATCAGTGCCTTGTCCGATGTCACTCTGGAACTTGACACGTCCATGACGACCAGAACGATATCTACCGCATCAAAGCCGAAAGTGCATGGCGCTATCTTCGACATGGACGGTACGTTGCTGGACACAGAAGAGCTGAGTCGCCTTGCTATCGATGGCATCATGCGTCAGTTCGGCAAGGAGTTTACCATGGCCATGCACAAGACCATCTTGGGTCGCCCTGCACTCGAGTGGACACGAATGGCGATTGCTGCTGCAGGACTCAGTGAAGAGACGCTCGCTCCAAACGAACTGTTCGAGCAGTGGGAGAAACGCATGCGTGACATGTCGGACCGCGTCGAGGAAATCCCGGGAAGCCTCGAGGTGCTGAGTGCTCTGCACGCGCGTGGCATCCCCTTGGCCCTGGCCACGTCCAATAGCAAGAGCGTTGTCGAGGCTAAAATGACGCACCACCGCAAATTGTTCTCGTTCTTTTCGGTCATTGTGTGTGGCGACGATCCGGCTGTGAAGAGAGGGAAGCCGGCACCAGACATTTTCCGAGCTGCAGGCCAGCGTCTCTTTGGCCTGCAAGAGGGAGAGGACGGCGACAAACCACCGCTGTGCCTCGTGTTTGAAGACTCGGTAAATGGCTACACTGCGGCCAATGCTGCGGGTATGCACAGCATTGCGATCCCTGACGTTCGTATCTACACGGAAAACGAGAAGAGAATTGAGCTATTTGGCAAAGCGGACGAAGTGATCTTGTCGTTCGCGCAGTTCCATATTGACAATTACGACTGGCAACTGTGAAGAAAGAGGTGGAGGGTGGTGGTCTACGGTCACGATTTATCGAGAACGAAATCTGAACGACGTTCCACTTTGGCTTCTTACTGCTCGTAAAGTTGGGAGCTAACCGAAGACTACGCCGCGATAAACTGGTAACAAGAGGTTCATGTGTTGATGACGAGTCCGACGAGCGTTCGATACTACGAATGCGAAGCTAGACGCCTAGGGATCGGCTTGGTGACAACTATGAGAAGGCATTGCAATAATGAGAGATGAAGCTACGATACAGCGGACGCCAAGAAGCACAACGGAATGTATGGTCACATCGAAAATAATGGGACTCCACAGCTATGCTGCTGCGCTAGCAGATTAAGGGAGGAGCTTAACTCATTCTCGTCTCTTGTTCAACATCTTGTCACAACATCGTATCAGAAAACGCGGCTGGTCCTTGTAGACTGCCATCTCTACATTGAGGGCACACTCCAGCCGACAACTTATATCGTCGTAGCTCATAACTCATGTAAATCATATAAATTGCGTTCCACCGTGCTCTTTCTATGGTCGCTAACTCGTAACTCATATTTATCGAAAATAAAGGCGTTTCCCGAGGGACAATTATTCACACGATTATGTTTTTGAGCTAAATGGTAATCAGATTTTCGTATACAAATGCACAATTGCTGGGGGACTCTGTGTCTGAGTGTTCTAAACCAGTGAGCACAAGAAACTAGGGTGCTCTAAGCGGTGGCAGCCATACGGATAGACATTTATAAAGCCATTGGCATAGGCCGTGAAGGCCAAAGAGATCCGAGCCTAAAAAGGGAAGAAGACTTGTATTGAACTATAAGTTTCGAGACTTTATAACTTTCTCCAGGAACTGATTTAACTCTGACCTTCTATGTCTTGAGACCCTCATTCTCTTTCTGCGCAGCTATCTTCTCTGTGTAATGTTGTGAATGGGCCTAATTCATTTTCTCGTGTGTACAACATCAGCCTGTGTTAAGATGTTTAAATCCCCACATAATTTTTCCGCTCATGTTGAAAACGTTGCAGGGTTCATAGCAAGCAATCACAGCCCGAAGTCCAGGCAATGCTGCCTCCATGGCTTCCCCATTTCCTAAACTATTCTCGCCATAAAACTCCCGATGCTGCACAGCCTCTTTTACCTCTGAAAGCCTTGCGACTAACCACTGGAGAACCTGATAGTGTCCTTAGAAGACTCAGGCAATATGAAACAACTAGGACTTGACCTTGATGGTTCTACTTATCAAGAAAACTTTGCTTGTTTGGCATTGACGCAACCAAGTTAACAGGTTATCTTTTAGTTTTAAATTCTGAGCACCTCCCGGGCTTTTGGTTAAACATTCGTTTTCTGTCATATGCATTCGATCAGTGCGCTTCTCGATCATGAGAGAGATTGCTCTAGGTGATCTATAAATACAAAGTTACGGGAAGTCCAATCTGCCAGGGCACTTCGGCTCCTTTTTACATTCTTGGCTTTGTGCTGGCAAATCTCGGGCCTTCGTGCATTAGAATTAGTGCGTGGGATACCATAATACAAAATTTAGAAGTGGAAACCGCTACTATAGTGCTTTTTGTATATTATAGAAAGAAATGTCGGAAAGCTACGCAACTCATAACTCGGCTAATTTATAGAAATTGTCTCCACCAAGCATATGAGTTATCCGAAGAATGACTGTGGTGCATTACCGAGTGTTTCTCGGAATCGATGATGGCAAGAAAACATCAATACGTAGCCTAAACTTCGGTTGTGCTTACGACCTAAACTTTGGTTCGAGCAGACAAACATGTGCTAAGTGTCGGAACGTGCAAGTTGCACTTGGTATCGACACCAGAGCTTCAACTTACGCCAAGACACAATAGTTATTCTATAGGCTTCTAGAATTTTACGTCTCTTACGTCTCTTAGCTAGCTAGAGGTCTTTTTTTTTAGTTAGCCACTAACGAGGCCCCGGAAGGTACGCGCAATATACAAGTCATTTCTTTTACTTTACTCTTACTTTTCCATCCAAAGCACATACTTTTCGAACAACGCAAGTAACTCTGGCATCTTGTATAGATGACGACAGATCACTTTGAATAAACCTGATGAAACCAACGACACTAATTCGCATCGGCGGTACGAAATAATTAAATGATGCTACGATAGAACAAGCTTATTGTATACAGCTGCGGCTGCGAATAAGGCAAGGATCTGCTCTGAGTAAGCGAAAGCTTCGACTGCTCGTTGTGTAGCGGGCAAGAGGGAGAGCGATGACCGCTTACCTGGATATTTTGGAAACACTTGTTAATGTCATAACGGGGTCTCTTTTTAACTTTGGAAAAGCAAGCAGTCGACGTCCCCTTCTCGCAGACATCAACTTCTTTGCTGATGATCTTGCCTTCTTGACTCACAAAGTTTGTCAATGCTAGCAAGATGCGGATAACGGCAAGAGCAAAATATTAACTAAATTAGCCAGTTTGCATGCTTTTGAGGTAACCTTTTTCCTGGAAATGCACTGACGTCAGAAGCGGGACTAAAGAATGAATCTGGACCAACGTTCTTTGATAAGGCGATTGCCTTCGCTCTGAAAGCTACAAAGGTACAGCTATTTTAGCATAACGTATATCTGCCGCTTGTGGGACCACATGTTACAAGCTAATTTCGTCAATGCAAATGCGTTTACTTTCATCTGGTCTGTACGCAAATTTTTAACATCATTTTCACCGCTTGAACTTAATTCTTGGCGTATTTAATCAATTCTGCATCACTCACGACATCTTCTCATTTTAAGTGGTGGCAGACATCGATGTGTTTCTTCCACGTGTTCCCCCAAATTTCTTACCAGCGCAATAGCCCCTTTACTCTCTTCACACGCTTCAGTTGCCAGAGCTTACTCATAAACGAGTTCATTAAGCATTAAGCGTACCTATTAATTTCTGCTGATTTGAATACAGTAGCCCTGCCTCTAGTTACAATATGATGCAAAAAGAATATCGTGGGCCATCGGTGCTGATTCCCTAATCAGCGTCCGTGTAAGTCCATATTGTCATCTTCCTCTTTGTAAGGTCATACACATGTCAATGCGTCGCGTAGTTTTGAGATACCGCAGCACTAGAATTCAATTTTTTACAATGCTTTTGTCCAGGATACTTTATGACATGTGACATCTGAGTCACGATGTAGGCTATGTCTGGTCAATTGCATGATATGATTTATAACAAACACCCGATAAGATACCGATGCGGTCGTGTGTCAATGTCCAACCGCTCACCACTTCTGGTTGGAGAATGCTTGCGGTGATCGTAAGTCCAAGCCTACGTTGTTTTGCCACTTCACTCGCGTTTTGATTTCTAGACCGTTGCAGAACATCGTCGATGTATCCGGTCTCCTTAATTGCCAGGTCCCGACCTTGGTGTCATGACAAACCTCTATTCTCAGTATAAATTTAATTGTTTCCACTCTATATGTCTCAGATAAGCATCTTAGCGCGTTCTTGACTGTTACACTCGTTCTAGATGTCTTGGCTGCATTTATCATGTCATCGAAGTACAGGCAAACGCTACCATGTCCCCGCAGTTTTTGTGTACTTACACATATTGGCACGTCCCGCCACTTGGTAAACTGACCTTTATATAAGTGCATGGATTTCGTGCGTCATAAGCCACCGCTTGCTGGAGCCCCTATAAAATTTTCCAGCTGTGCGATAATTTTCTGGGCGCTCGTAAAACTTTCTTATGCTCATGATCCTTTTTTATTATTCAGGAAAGATTTTCCACATTCATTTTGCTCTTTATTACAAGCTTCGCTAACCTAACTCGAATCAAGTTTGTATAACCTTTCGGAGAGCAAGTTCAAATGAGGAAACAAAAACTTCTGTTTGAACCCTAGTGGAACAAGTGTTACCTGATATTAGATGCCAGTGCCATGTTTGTCTCGCTAATTCACGAATATCCATCGAAAGGCTATCGTTCGTACATTTTCGGCTCTACAAACAAAATGATAAGAGCCAATCATCTTTTGCGTCATTTATTCATCTTTCATAGCATCTGTCCACTTTGACGACTCAGTACTACCACCTGCAATAATAGTTCTCATAGGTATCACCAGGTGTAGCCAATTTTTCTACATTAGAAAGGGCCGTCTCTTTCTATCCTTGATCTCTTGGGAGATGGTGGCCCAAAATTTGTTAGTATTACTTTCTTTAGCGCAAGCTGATTGCTTTCCGTTTGCAAAAGTCAGTAATGGTCAATGGGCATGTCGTATCTGTGTTGATCCCAGTGAAAAAATGGCATTATTCATTTTTAGTATATCTATTAATCCACCCCGGGCACTTCTTGGTCGTCATTTTCTGGCACACACGTGTATTCAGTTGATTCGTCTATAAAGTCCGTTTTTATGATGAGTCGCCCATAATTTTGCTCGACGATAAACGTGTTAATAAATTTTCTGATGACTGGACGCATGTCTTATCTTTCAATGGTGATTCGCTCTATTTTCTTCACATTTGTCGATCGTGATAGACCGTACAACCTGCCATCTTTGCGCGTTTAGCAGTACATCCTGTATCTTTTTTTCGCATACATAAGGAACAAACAATTATACCAATTTGTAGTTAAGAGCCACAAGTGTTTGAAACCTCTTAGCTTTAACTTGGTTCGATTAGTATTAGCCATTAGTTAAATCCAATTGATCCACACACAAGCAGGTGATCCATGCATGAATTCACTTGGAATTTTTTTGTCAAGTGTTACATTGGTGTTTTGTTGATCGATTTGTTCATCAGGTATACAGATATGTTTACTGCTTCTTACCACCAGTCCATAGAAATGCCTTTGGAGTTTATCATGGATCTTGTCATCTAAACTTTCGTCCAATTGAACTGCCTTGCCATGCCATCGTGCTGTAGCACGTATGGTACCTTATCCTAAAGCAAAATTCTACAGGATGTCCAATACTTGTAGATTGCCTTATTCACGAACTCTTACCCATTGTCCGAACGGAATAATTGATCCAAGCATTTT